GATAGTGCATCTCTTCGGCGGCAGGATTGCGCCAAAGAGCTTGTAATTGAGGACCTATTGGAATAGTATGAAAAACAGCCCGTGGATTCTTGATGCGACCGTTGGACTTCGTGAATTTGATCTGGTCGAAACGATGCTGACCACATTCCGGACACATATCATAGTCTGCGTAAGGCCCAACGAAGGCAGCGCACGAGTTGATACACATGTGGTCGACGAGAGACTCCACTCCACTAAGGTCGGCGAGGATTGTCTTGACACGGTGAAAGGGCGGAACATCAGAGTCAGGATAACACTCGATTACAGCCTCACGAATCTGCGCATAGGTATCTTGAGATGAATGTTTCGAGTGCCATGAACATTCTGAGAGCGAGAATGGTAGATGGATTGTTGATATGGAGTGATTGTTGTGGTGGATTGTGGAGTCGTTCGAGTTTCTCGCCTTTGAGTCCTGTACCATCGTCGAGTGTAGCGTTTCGGAGAGCCTGAATAAAAGAGATGTCAACGCTTGAGATTGTCAAGCCGAGCAGATGCTGCAAGTGCATCTAAGTCAAGGTCCGCAAGAGGGGATCGTTCGGGGTGTTCCTGTGGTTGGTCCCCATGAGGTGGAGGCTCTTGTCGCAGCGGCGGGGCCTCCTGAGGTGGAGCCTCCTGCGGTGGGGGATTGTTGTGAGGTAGGGGATTGTCTTGAAGTAGGGGATTGTCTTGAGGTAGGGGGATTGTCTTGAGGTAGGGGTAGGGGATTGTCTTGAGGTAGGGGATTGTCTTGAGGTAAGGGGATCGTCTTGAGGTAGGGGATCGTCTTGAGGTAGGGGATTGTTGTGAGGTCGGGGATCGTCGTGAGGTAGGGGATTGTCGTGAGGTGGGGGATCGTGCAGGGGATTGTCTTGAGGTAGGGGATTGTCGTGAGGTGGGGGATCGTGCAGGGGAGAGCTGGGATGCTCATATGTCTACCACCAGATAGTGACAATAGATTTTACTAAGTCAGTGAAGGAAAAAATTAGTATTTACATACCTGAGTATGCTGGCATTTTGATGGTGAAGCACATTCAGCACTGTCTAGCTCATTACTAGGCCGTTTGGAAGTGCCAGGCATATCATACTGCCCACTAGTAGATACAGTAACCTGAAAATTATCAGAGAGTCCTGCATTGGCAGCTCGAATGGCTATCCTCTCAGTGTCACTGGCAGCTTCGCGAAGGTGTCGGTACCATGTAGGCCGCGAACGGAGAGCAGTTTTTGTGCTGGCGCAGTACTTGCTACATATGCACCACCAGGTAGTTTGATCTGGCATTGGCTGATTGCACACGCGAGGGAGAGAATTGCAAGGACATCAAACTCGCAAGCTCGCAAGGACATGAAAAGTGCGAAGATCTCATATTGTACATCAGGCATTTGACCTGAGAATGGCAAAGACTTAGCTAGATTTATCTCATGTACAAAACCTAAAAAATGTCTCACAATTGCAGATCACATGACAAAGGAATAAATAGGTAGGTTCCGATGGCAAAATCTGCAATTGCTGACTGTGTGCCAGGGTGTGATATATGGCTGCCATTCCGAAACACAATGCTGAGCTACTACCAAACATGTCTATGGCTATATGGACTGCTTCTGATGGTGGGATCTGCAATTGCTGACTGTGTGCCAGGGTGTGATGATGTGTTGTAAGCAACAGCATGATGCTGGTTTTCTACAAAACATGTCTGGCTTTAGATAGGTAGGTTCCGATGGCGGGATCTGCAATTGCTGACTATGTGCCAGGGTATTATATATGGCTGCCATTCCGAAACGCAATGCTGAGCTACTACCGAACATGTCTATGGCTATATGGACTGCTTCTGATGGTGGGATCTGCAATAGTTGACTGTGTGTCAGGGTGTGATGATGTGTTGTAAGCAACAGCATGATGCTGGTTTTCTACAAAACATGTCTGGCTTTAGATAGGTAGGTTCCGATGGCGGGATCTGCAATTGCTGACTATGTGCCAGGGTATTATATATGGCTGCCATTCCGAAACGCAATGCTGAGCTACTACCGAACATGTCTATGGCTATATGGACTGCTTCTGATGGCAGGATCTGCAATTGCTGACTATGTGCCAGGGTGTTATATATGGCTGCCATTCCAAAACGCAATGCTGAGCTACTACCAAACATGTCTACGGCTATATGGACTGCTTCTGATGGTGGGATCTGCAATTGCTGACTATGTGCCAGGGTGTTATATATGGCTGCCATTCCAAAACGCAATGCTGAGCTACTACCGAACATGTCTATGACTATATGAACTGCTTTCGATGGCGGGATCTGCAATTGCTAACTGTGTGCCAGGGTGTTATATATGGCTGCCATGCCAACACACAATGCTAAGCTACTACCACACAAGTCTACTATTACATGGACTACTTCTGATGGTGAAAGCTACCATCAATGACACTGATGACACACAGTTCTTGCCACGGCAAGTGGTGATATTTTTGTCACATATTTATATGTCATGCAATAGATTCATTTTCACATCCATCAATTGCATTATGGTTAATATGATTTATGTAACACAGTACAGTACGAAATAAATGAATTAAGTAGTGAATTAAGTAGTGTCAACATTATTAGCTTGTTCTTGCAAGGCAGCACATTTTTCCCGAATCCTCGACAGCGCACTGTTTTTGCTGATACTGCGCTGCGAGGATGAAGAATTAGGAAAAATGCGGCTGTGTAAGGTGTTAACTGAGAGAGCTTAAGGGTGACTAGATGGATCACGAACCGCGTCCACCACGTCATGAGGTCAATGACTTCCGCACTCTCATCCGGATCCTCCAAGAGGTCGAGAATGCTGTGATAGAAATTTTCGGAATCCGTGACCATGTCGGTACGTGAAAATACCGATGACGAACTTAACGCAAACCGAATCTAAATGAACAATCAGCGGGGGAAAGAGCGCTTTATCAAATTTCCTACATACCTGTGTAGCAATATAGGCCAGGGATCCTTTGGTTACAGACTTCATGCCGTGAAGGTAAGCATTACCGGAGCGCGTAGCTTTTGGCTCCTTATCTACTGAGCTTGGGGACGTAAAGACATGTTTGAAACCCTATTGAGGGTGAGTGAGATGTACATCGCCAACAGAATGAGCTTACAAAGATGAGTATCTCACTCCTCAGTAAACCCTTCCATGGATCTTCGGGATCATAGTCATACCCAGCATATAAGAACATGGGCCACTGGTCACCACGAACTGCAGTTTCACCACTCTTGAGACCCTGCTTGGTTCTGACTCGTTGTGTTATTACGCTAAGGTTATTGAACAATGGAAAAATGTACACTGCATTCGACCAGTCAAGGCCTGCGGGGCAGAGCATCGCACCGGTGACCTCATGATTAAACCCGCGGTCGGACTTAATGTTTCGGGAGAGGGGCGGTATGACTGCCTGTCCTCTGGGCACAAGCCATTCGAGAATGGCAGATTTGAGAGTTTTTGTATCATCGGCTCGCGAACCAGACGCTCCTTTGCCCAGCTACAAATGTTTGCTTAGTATGAAGAGTTTCCCAATTTAAACACTTACCAATTCTCCTACATGAATAATGTCGTCCTCCTCGCCATTAGTCAGACGATCTAAAAGACCAGGATAGGAATCGATTAGATCCATGAACACCCTATGTTCACGTCGAACACTAACATTGAAAGTAGTAAGTCCTGACGGCATGCAATGCTGTAAATAACACTCACTCCGCTGGATAATCCTCTATGGGAGAGTCCTGCAATTCTTCGAGTCGGAGGATCCCTCCAGTGAGAAGAGCAGGAAAGTTGCACAGAGCAAACACTGTCCGACCAAAATGTTGGCCATGTAGGATGAGGGGATTTGAAGAAGTCCTGATCGGGACAGGTCAGGAAGGCAGTGATTCACCGCTTAGAAGAACACTTACGCCTTTTTGCGTGGGCCCAATTGAAGCGCTGTACCACTACGCTTGCGCGAAGGATCGCTGGAAGAGGGATTATTCTCGTCGTTACTCATACGAAGTTGAACTAGGTAGGTTCCAATATCAGTAATCAATAAAGACTTTATATGTCCAAGGGGGTCATTACGTGATATAAAAAACTCGCCATCCGAGCGCCATTAATACTAAAAAAACGGCCATTCTAGCGCCATTGATATATATATACAAAGCGGCTATTTGAGCGCCATAGGTGTCAAACAAACGGCCATCCGAGCGCCATAGATTTCATAACGGTGACAGAACCTCGCCATATATATTGGATGGTGCAGTCTTGTTATTGGGCCTGTCGCACGGAGATACATAAGTCACCAGCACTGACGCAACAACTTATCGCACCATTTGAACCAAGGATGTCCGGCTCACCCCCTCGGAAGCGTCTGCGACGATGCGTCCACATTGGAAGTAATGTGACACTAAAGTAAGCTCGTCGGCATGTCATGCAGAACCAAACTCATACAAGTTTACCTGAAGCTTCCAATTTTCTCCAGTGCATACACAGGAGACCTCTGATATAGATGAGCTACACGATGCAGACTGCAAGTGAGTCATAAAGCGTTGCAGAGAGAAATTCGGAACTAGACTTACCGTGCAAGCAGGCAATTCCTTCAAATTAATCAAGTGTTCCATAGAGGAACTCAGATGGCTGGTGAGATTTGACGATTCAGACGAGAAGGCGTGAGACGGACGTGTCTGAAAATTCTTCACCTAGGCAAGGACGAAGAGCCGCAAAGCGAAGTAGAATCTGAGCTGCGTCGCGTCAAGGAACAGCTAAAGAACGCGGAACATGATATTGCATACCTTTCAGGAAGGGTGAAGACATACAGGGATAGATGGCTGGAAGATTACTACCGCGCCGACAACCTCGAGCGCCATATGCCGTGTGATATTGATATTCCTGACCTTGATCAAATTCCAGAGGGTGCAGCGTCGCCCTTTCCAGAATTCTTCACCTGGAATGAATCACGTTCAGAACGGGGAGATGATGTGTTGCAAGAAGGGCAGGACACCTGTGAGGTGCACAATGTCTAGTGAAGGGGAGTCCAGCTTAAATTTTCAAAATGTTACTACGTACATGACAAACAATTATGGTGGGCACTTACGAGACGCCGTGCCGCCATATCTGATATCTGGGCATGAATTCAGATTGTCTATTGAAAATTCAAGGATATGCTTACCTCTATTTCGAACGGGCAGTGGGCTGGCTCAACTGCATTGTTTGTAATTGCAGCCTGTCGTGTAAATGACGGGGGCAACGCGCACTGACGAACTGAAAATGATGTTAAGGGCCGCTGGAGGCCGTGCATGCCCGACTCTTCAAATTAATTGGAGAGGTATAGTAAGACCGTCAGGTGTAATCAGACGCATCATTTTTAATATTTCAAAGTCCATCGTAATGTAGGTTATATGTATTCGTCTGAGCAACATAAGGACGTAGACTATATAGTAAGGCTAACACCATTAAGCAAGAAATATGAAGAGGATCAGAAAGAAAACCATTGTAAGGAAAGGAATGCGTATATATAGTGAACGACTATATTCAAACTCAGCCGGCATTCAGCGCTAGTTCTCGAACTTACCAATCGGGCATCGCCGGCTGGGTCTGAATATGTATTTGTTCACTATATCAACTGTGCCCCTCGCGTAATACATTTGTTTTCCGACTCCCAAGTTTGCACTCTACACTTATATTAGAGCATAAACATACTTAGTGTGCTTTTATATTTAGCGCCTACGTGAAACAGTAGAGTAGTACGTGTGATTTGATACAGTAGCCTCCAACTTTGGCGTGCATGGCACCTTGCGTACTTCACACTGTAGCGGGGCTTCGCTATTTACATTTTTACCACCCAAAGTTTGAAACATATCTACTGTACTTATATATATGCACATTGGACTTATTGATTTCTTTCGTCAGCAGGAAATTGACCCTCATTGTTGCTGCGCCGTCGGTCCACAATTTCCACAATTCGAATTGTCACATATGTAAGACAATGCTGCTGCGCCGTCGGTCCACAATGGCCATGGTCCACAATTATTACCGCCACATCTGTAAGTATTAGGTAATCCACAATAGTGATTCACTATAAATGCTGACCCTGCGCATTAACAGGTTTTCTTTCCAATTACCTCAATACAGTACGTTAGCAAATAGATTACCTACCAAGCATATTCAATCGAATAGACTATCAAGCAAAGTATGTGAAAGTTCCAAGCTCGCTGCAACTCTCAAATTGATTTATGTTAACACAAATCATACAGAATATGTCCAAACGCGCCGGGTCTAGTCACGATGGGGATGAACCCGCCTCGAAGCGCCTCAGGATTGACGAAGGTAAGTCGTGATATGATTTCGTCGATGTTGACATTCATCAGCTATACAGGGAATCACACAGTACCATCGGCGCTTCACGATCCCCATGCATGGGACATTCTCTGCAAGTTTCTCACCAGCAATATGTCGATGAGTGAGATGGACAACGCCCTTGAATCGCACCTCGGCGATCGATTCTCTGCAGATGACTGGGCGGAACCACGACGTCTGTTGTTCTCCGGTGAAGGAGATGATGCGCAGTCCTTAGCAAACTTGATCGAACTGAAGATCAAGTATGTACCCGAGCCTAAATCTCCACGAACTTCACCTGTTCGACAATCGCGTAAACCACGCAAAGTAAGCAAATGTTGGCTAGTAATTTGATAACTAAACAATAAATGTAGCAGAAAAATCTGTATATCCTTGATGAAGCCGAGGAGGATGAGGATGAGGATGAGGATGAGGATGAGGATGGGGATGAGGATGAGGATGAGGATGAGGATGAGGATGAGGATGAGGATGAGGATGAGGATGAGGATGAGGATGAGGATGAGGATGAGGATGAGGATGAGGATGAGGATGAGGATGAGGATGAGGATGAGGATGAGGATGAGGATGAGGATGAGGATGAGGATGAGGATGAGGATGAGGATGAGGATGAGGATGAGGATGAGGATGAGGATGAGGATGAGGATGAGGATGAGGATGAGGATGAGGATGAGGATGAGGATGAGGATGAGGATGAGGATGAGATGAGGATGAGGATGAGGATGAGGATGAGGATGAGGATGAGGATGAGGTGAGGATGAGATGAGGATGAGGATGAGGCTGAGGATGAGGATGAGGATGAGGATGAGGATCTGATGGGATGAGGATGAGGATGAGGGTGAGGGTGATGGGGATGGTCCGTCTGGTGCGGTCGCCGAAGGTTACGCGTTTTGTTGGGCCCAGCAGCGAAAGATAGGTTGGCTGCAACCTTCGACGACATGGCCACTCGGTTCGAACGGAATCCGACCACCTCATCACACGGTCGCCGGCCTTCAACTGAAAGCAGAATGTATCTGCTTCATGTTCAAAGTAAGTGTATTTTAATCACGTAGCATACCACTCATTTACATCTCAGGAACTGCTACTGAATATATCGCTGCTCACCTTCGGGGGAAAAAATTTCCCGTTACCGTGTCAGCTTGGATACCAGGACAACTTTACGTGGTGTCGGACAGCCCAAAAACCATCGCACATTCACTACCTTCCTCCCTTTATCTCGCCGTAAAAGAGTACATTCGCATCACGGACGAAGAACGCAAAGCTGTCGGACTTTCACAATCCAAGCTTCCCGCCCCTTCGTGGGTGAGGATCACGAAGGGAAAGTACAAGGGCGACATAGGCAGAGTCTCTAACTCCAAAGAAGATTTTGTCAAAGTCTTTGTTGCCACACGCGACTTTCCCTATCAAATGCCTCGGGGATCTCGAGCGCTGCTCGAGCGATCACGCCTTCCGAATACCAAGGCGGTGTCCGACATTATCCAGGATGGCGAAGTAGTAGGATTGACGTACAAAGGCGAGAGTTATTACAAGGGACTCTTACTAAAAACTTTCCCCACGATCATGTAGAACTTCTCGCTTCCCCTCATGTCGATGACATTCAGCTCCATCTGGAATCCGGATGGGACATGCCCTTCCTGAAGAACACAGTGGTGGCGTTCTCGTTGCAATTTTTGCGCGTGGGCGATTATGCCAGGGTCGTCAGGGGCTCTCTTCATGGAGACCTTGGTAAGGTCGTCTCGACCAACCATGCCCACGGTTCCGTGGGCTTGGAACTCACGTTCAATGGATGTCTCGAAGAAATAGAAGTTCTACTCCAGGACATAGAGCGCATGTTCTGAGTTGGCGACACTGTCAGAGTGGTCGCCGGTCCATACTTGGGTTTGGAAGGGCATGTCATACAAATGTCCGAGGACGTGTTTCACGTTTGTCAAGACATCTCCAAGGAAGTGGTAAGTCTGGCAAAATTCCTCATTTTGGAGGAATGGACTAACTCAGTAATGCATAGGTGGAAGTTTCAAAGTATTACTTAGATCAGCGTCCTTTGAAGCACACGCTTAATTCGCACCTGCCAACGCAACAACATTTCAAGCCTCCCTCCGACTCCGACACTATTGAAATTGGGGATTACATCCAGGTCATGGATGGGGAGCACACTGGGAAACGCGGCATCGTGGATTGGTGTTGCAAGAGAGAAAGTTATCTGTGGTTCCGGGATATCCTCACTGCGCACGACACAGAGTCCAGCGACGACCTGTCGAGTATCAAAGTTTTCACGACAATGGTTAGGCGGACGAATCTCGCCCAGACAATTCAATTCACAAAGGAAAGGGGCTATGATGTCAGGCCTGGAGATGCCGTGAGTGTTGCCCGAGGGCCGGAGTTAGGGGCGAAAGGGATCGTGCAGCGCGTAGACTTTCCAAACGCTCACTTAATCCTGCTATGTGATGGTGACAAGTCGCTGGTAAGTATCATTCACTTCGACCCGAGCATTTCTGACTGGTCACAGATCAACGTTCCAATCAAATTTGTCATAAAACTACAGAACGCCAGCTTGGATACTTTTAAGAAGGATATTGGCCAGGAAGTCTTCGTTATCGGGGGTGATCGGAAGGGCTACCGAGGCACCCTCTACAGTCTTTCCCTCGAGTCTTGCACCATTGCTGTGCATGGGCAGCCCCGCACCACGATCAAACTCCACGACGTTGTGACCAGGTGAGCGGCACGCACATTTTCGCCGTAATTTAAAGGTTGACCACTGTTAAGGTATGGAATGAGGTTAGACGGTGTCATGCTCGAAGACTCGGATTTAATTTCATTCTGCGATGTGCGAAAAAGATCGTACTTGGCGCCGCCACCTCGAAGCACCACTCCGCCTGTTGAACAAGTTCCCTCCAGTTCGTCGGCTTTGGTCACGGATCCCAGTCTTTTGCCATCCAACAGGTGGACCACCTGGTCTGCGAGCCCGAGGAGTGTTGATGTGCAACATGACCCTTCGTCGAGCATCAATCCCAGCTCATCATCGGCACTCCAGGCGTGGAATGTTGATGCGCTGGACAGCATTGACACCAGAATGGAGAAATCCCGGGACATCGGTAAGTTCTCGAGGGAGGCATCACAACGTCTACTCACTTCGTTATAGGCCCGCTACCTTGGTTGATGACCAAGGAGTTTTCTTTGAAGCTCCTCACATACCATGTGTTGTTGAAGGTCTCAGTGGGGTTCATGAATGGCAGGTTACAGAAGAGGTTTGTGTCAACGGCTTGTCCTGACCCGTTCTGCGGTGAGAATGGACCCGCACCTGAAGGTTGCGTGGCCGTATTCTGCACATCTAACAGTGCAGGTGCCGCACTTGGACACTATCACATCCCCGCCAGTGACTTAAGCCCGGCTCCTCCACGGAAGAAAAACCAAGAGTGCCTTATTCTGGACGGGGTTCATCGCGGACTTATACGAACTGTCACGAAGTGTGAAATCACCAAGAAAAGTACTGTTGAGGTTAGAATCACGCCTACGGTTACCGTAACTTTGCATTCCAATCAGATATGTCTGGTGGAACCTGCTCGAAACTTGATGCGGTAGACTACGTACTTTACTATACAAGAATCGAAATTTTGAGGACAATTCCTACATAACATACGTACCTTCTAATTCAACTATGATACTTTATGAAGTGATGACAGGTGTCAGCCCATTTATTTCGCAAACGACGGACACAACTACATGTGAAAACCCGCTGAACTATACCTTAATATTTTTTCCTTCGTTACTGACCTGAGTGAGGAAACGAAACCACCTTGAGCTTATTTCCGTCTGGATTCTCCCTGCCGGACAGGGAGCAAGCAAGGCTGGCCGCTCTCAGTGATCCCAATGTTTCTCATGCTCGTATATTTTCGTATTTCTGGTTCTCCAGGTGATGTTCTGGCGCCTTGAAGACATCTTATCTCATCTGCCAGTCTGAACATACGAGGCAAGCAAACTAGTTGCATTTGTATTCTATTCCCAGTGATGATTTGGGGCACGAGGTGCTAAATGCAGATGTGCCGATTCCATAAAATAGCTCGCGAGCTGCTGGTAGAGGCCTGTTTTCGAGTACGTCCTCCTCAGGAGGGCCTTCACCCAACCCTACAGGGAGCGCACACGGCACTGCACCCCCGACTCCAAATACCATCAACTCAAACATCACGCAGTCCCCTGCTCCGAATGGGACAAGGTCCTTCGGTATCCCTCGCTTTGAATCCTGCGAGCCAACCACAACCCAATCTATCCGACCTACTACCTAATTCCATATCTTCAGACTTTATTCAATGTATGACAGCATTGAGAACCTAGACCCATCCATGTTTCGGACAGACTTGGAGCAAGACACTTCCATGAATGGTTCGATCCGACCGGTGAGGAACGGTGTATGGAAGATATGATTTTGGGGCTATGTATTTGTTTTATTCATCTTGCTTTTTGACCATTTTTACCTCAATTCATACGCGTACTAGTACATGTTTTTTTTGCGCTGACCCAACAGTCAACGGTGCTCCCCTCTCAGGCGAGGCTCGTCGTGTCATCGAAGAAGCAGAGGCACGTGTAGCCCATGCCGATAGACAGAGAGACGAGGCAGAAGCACGCAGGCTTGTTGTTCTCGAGTCTTACGACGAACTCAGCAAATATCTCGCCGCAATCGAATCCCGCGCTGCCGATGCACGTGCTGGTTTCCAGCGTATCCTTAGAGATGCAGGTGGCCATCTCGTCTTGACACCCATCCCAAATCAAATCCAGCACGATCACAGCCCCTACTCTGCGAATCCTAGTATCACTGTAGAACCCCCACCACGTCCATACCATTGATCTCACCATCGCTACACTTCATCATCCCTCAGTTCGGCTGCTCTCCCTCCAGGCCCCCTCCCTCCTCCCCCATCCACTCGTGGTGTCCGTCCTCGCTCAGGCAGCTTCGATGACACATCTTATCTCATTGCACCCCTTCAGCCACCTTCCAAACGACCTCGCAATGACCGTGGCGAATATGACCACAGGCCTCCACTCTCCGTAAGTTTCCTCTCATACTACCTTTTTATCTCCTCATATTCTCCAGGCTACCTCCATGTCACGCGGTCGCATTCCTGATATCGACTCCCTCCCCCAACAACTTCCTCAGATTCAACACCACAACCATCACCTTACCATTCGGCCTACTCATAAATCTCACTCCCGATCCAGCAGCAGATCCAGTGTCCGTGCTACTTCACAGGACATCGAGGACCTCCTCCTTGACGCTGCCACTGATGAAAGGAGCGCTCTCAATGCCCGTGACCAACAGCCACAGTCTCCCCGTGCCGTGTTGGCCGCCCACCAGTCCAAAGGTATCCCAGTAGGTCCATTAGATCAACCTGGCGAACTCAGGACCTATCAAACCCACATTTTTGCCCCTCCCGTCACGGGCGCCCCCCAAAAGAAGGGGAATGAGTCATGCACCCGAGAGCTCACCTTCCCCAGCGCCCGTGAGTGTCGTACTAGAAACGCAACCCCGAGAATTGGTCGATTTTAGCCTTATACTGGAGGTCAAAATATGCGGAGATGTAGTAACTGTTCTATTCGACAATGGGATGGGAAGAGAGGCGCAAGTATTATGTTTCAATACCTCTACGCGCGTTCGAGTTGTCATCACTGGGCTCGGTTGGGTGGGTTTAGTTCGGCGTACTTCCCTGTGCAATCACTGGCGGTGCACTGGTTTTCCCCCAAATTGGTGCGGGGGTTTCAATCATAAAAATGTATTATAGTAGTACTACAAAGCAACATGTAGATGTATATACAGATGCGCCCAAGAAGAAAGTAAATCCAAGAATACATTGAGCTCATCGCGTGGAATGATGAGCGCGATGATTTGGTGGACGAGCGGAAGCGTCGGCCGGCACTGCGGCCGGTCAGAATTACACAATAGGCATTGTGATGACGTATTGTGCCATTGGACAAAATTGGAAGTGTTGAGCAGGCTCGGGTGCTGCCGGCTGAGTTTGATTTTATCAAGTCGTTCACTATATAAGAGCCAGCGCTTCTCCTTGCACTTTTTTTCCGTTTTCCATCATCTCTCTCAGTTGTCCCATGTCGTAGTTGTAGGAGTAGTACTTGTCATCTTCATTTATGATCAACATAGAATGTAGCACTCGTCTTAGTTGCAAATGAATGACACCGCCATGATAGTCGCAATTTGTTTGACGTGCTTGCACGTCAACCTAGTAATTTGCCACCTGGGGATGCGGATGACATGTTCGGATTTATAAATCCTTGAGAACCGCTACCACGCACGCCTCACGGTTCCCGTCGAACGTCCCATTGGACACCCGACAAAAAGTGCAAACTAGGTCAAAGACATAACTAGACAATGTCTGGTGGTGTCGCCAAATGTAACTTAGGATAATATTTTTGACTGAAATAATGAACATGAGCAAATATGCACACGCGAAGTGCGCCAGATTCATGGGTCACGGTGAGATCACATCATACCCTTATCGTGATTCACATCTCTGACCCAATTTTCAGATGGGTGAACGATTGATAATGGCTCCACCCCTCGCCTCAGGTGTAGTGGAAGAATCGCACCATGAATCACAGCAAATTGTACGAGTTTTATCCTATCTTGTTGGGACAATATACTGATACATGAGCCACAGCCACCGCAGTCAGTCTAACCGCCTCTATCTTGCTACTGCATCTCTCCCAATGCCGCTATACATCCTATGGACCCATATGGGTTTGTTCGCATGCGGCGATAGCGTTCAGCACGATTGGCGACCTCTGACAGGTATTGGCATGTGGATTAGTCTTTAGATTGGGACACTTACCTCTGCGAGGATAATACACTGCAGGTACGCAGGCTCTCCCAAAATATTTCTCGATATTCACTATTTATAAGATGATTACATCCACCCTTTTAATTCAAATGAGAAGCCCACTTACGCATGTACCCGCAAGTGCTGGTGGCGCATTCTGCCATATATTCCCCTTGGCATATCCCAGCGGTGCGCTGAAATACAGATGCCTCCACATATCTGTCACCCACAGTGCAAAGGCAACATGGGTAGCGAAACCTATGTGCCTCGCGATAAGCCTCAAATCGTGAAGGGTGGATCTTCTGCCCATATCGGTTGGTCGGCCTGTAGCGGGTGCACGCGTGAGTGACGAAAATTTGGTCATACATGAAAATAATGTACCATTGAAACATTGTCAGTTCTCTGGTCTGCGGGTGGTAATGAAGTATGCCATGGCAGCAAGTGAGGATCTTAACCAGCATCTTCACGACGTTAGGGTCAACAACGAATTCGAATTCTGTGAGCGCTGAAGACTCAGAATGTGGAGATGACGGTGCGGACATTTTGGGATATAAAGATTCAAGATAACTGAAGCGTTTATATAGCTATGCAGCCGTTTCGCTTCATGTGTACTTCGTTTCAGCGCCATTGCCATATCCAGCCATTTGGTTGCCATTTCAGTGCCATTTCGGTGCCATTTCAGCGCCATCCGCCATCACGAAATTTTTTCAAATCTTCCAGCGACAAACTTCTGGCTTCGGTTACACCTCCATGTCAGCGCCAAGTTACACCTGCGTGTGCAAGCGCACATTCACTTCGCAGAACCACTTCAGCCAACATCAGCACTCGTGCTCTCGCACAAAAAAGTGTCTGTCGTCAGCTATATCCAATTTGAAGGAATTCGCAACACGCAGGAAAAAGGCTCACACTTCGAACGATGATGTTGAGCCTGTGGGGGTCATTGCATCGCCTTGTCAAAGGCCAAATTCGTCCACCAACTACCTGGCTTCGAGCGAAGCCAACTCTTTCATAGAGTCCGAAGCTACCATTCTACACAACCCACCCTCAGCTGCTGCAGGAGGGATCATCACCCCCAACTGTGAAGTAGGGGGAACTGACGAAGGAGATACCCTTAGTTTGGCAGAGCGCAGACCGAGACGTCAGAATCGTCAGTTGCTGAAGCGATTTAGAGACGTACTTCCACTGCCCCCACCTACCACGCCTTTGGGCGACCTCCCTCCGGCATCTGTCGGTCATGAGCCAGTCGCCTCTTCCATTGAATCCTCACCCTTATCATCGCGATCTGTATTTCGCACCCCCTCAAATATCTTTGGGTTAGTGCGTCAATATTTCTCCTCTACACCGCCCTCCCACGATCCGGAAGAGTATGCCACCATCGCAGATCTCTCGTTTATTCCTAGCAACTCTCACGTCGATGAAGAACCCGACTCACCCGCTGCTCCGTGCAGCGACTCCCAGTACCATCCCTATCCTAACCGTTCCTCCTTCCAACTGGGTGATTGGTACTGGAACCAGGGGGTGCAAAAGTCGCAAGGTGACTACATGAAACTAGTAGAGATCTTGGGCGATAGCAGCTTTGATGCTGCCGATGTGAGCTCCACGCAGTGGAAGAAAATTAACTCGCAACTGGGTACCAATGAGTACGATGAAAAAGATGGAGAAGAGTGGGAAGACGAAGATGCCGGCTGGAAACGAACACCAGTGTCCATCCAGGTGCCTTTTTCCCGTACCACTGAAACACCAGGCCCTCGCCTTTATCAAGCCGCCGATCTCTATCATCGCTCCCTTGTCGCTGTCTTGCGGGAAAAGCTAGCCAACGAACGAGACAACAAGCTATTTCATTACGAACCATACAAGCTGCGCTGGAATCCTTCCCACCTTGATACTGAGGTCGCCATACATGGAGATTTGTACACGTCCCCCGTATTCCATGAAGCCCACGCGGAACTGCAGAAATCTCCCAGGGAGCCCGATTGTGATCTTCCCCGAGTCGTGGCTGGTCTAATGTTCTGGTCTGATGCCACGCAACTAACTTCGTTCGGCAACGCCAAATTATGGCCGACCTACATGTACTTCGGCAACGAGTCCAAGTACCGCCGCTGCAAGCCGTCGTGCAACTTGAGCAACCACGTTGCGTATTTTGAGACAGTACGCCTTCACAGTGCTTGGCTGTATTAGATATCTAATTTTGCACCGCCAGCTTCCAGACTCGTTCAAGGATTTTGCATGTGGGAAAGGCATGACCAGGGAGTGTGCAACCCATTGTCATAGGGAACTATTTCACGAGCAGTGGAAGATCTTGCTGGACGATGAGTTCCTGGAGGCGTACCAGCATGGAATTGTGATCATCTGTTGCGATGGCATCACACGCAGATTCTACCCCAGGATCTTTACTTACTCCGCAGATTATCCTGAGAAGTTCGTAAATTCGTATGTCACTGTGGATATTGCTGATTCGGATTTTAGAGTCCTTATAGCCACCGTCCGCAATCTTGGAGGCTGCCCATGTCCGCGTTGTCTTATACCTAAAGAGCGTATACAAAACATGGGAATGCCTCAGGATAGGAAGCAGCGCGAAACTATGGCACGCAGTAATGATAATCGAAGAACTATGGTAAGTACTGCGCGGTCACTAATCTATGAAAAGAACTATGCGGTCGGGAGCGCTCCGGTGGAGCAAATTCTGAAGCCGCAGTCCTGGGTTCCCACCTCGGTAAATGTTGAGCATCTATCACCGACCATAACTGACCATTTCCATAGAACGCATTCTTAGATCGCCTTGGTCCTTTAGGTTTCAACATTTTTCACGCGCTTGTAGTAGATCTTTTGCACGAGTTCGAGATCGGTGTTTGGAAGATGCTGTTTTGTCATTTGTTACGCATTATTGCGGCGCAGGACAAGGGTCTTATCGACGAGTTGGACCGGAGGTACGTTGTGTTATCATGCGCTATCCATTCAATTGACCTCTTCGCCACCAGATACAGGCAAATTCCTACGTTTGGCCCAGCGACCATCCGAAAATTTTCGGCCAACTCTTCGGGGATGAAACGTATGGCAGCTCGGAACTACGAAGATCTCCTTCAGGTATGACATCATTTTCATCGAAGTTAGATGACACATGACGCGATCCTAAGTGCTCTATCCCTGTCTTTGATGGTCTTCTCCCCAAGCCGCATAATTCGTCCGTTTTGCATTTGCTCTTTACCATGGCGCATTGGCACGGACTCGCCAAACTCCGAATGCATTCTGATTGGACACTAGAAATCATGGATCGTGTCACTTCGGCAGTCGGCCAGCAATTCCGCGACTTCAAAGCAATGGTTTGCTCAGCTTACAATACACAAGAACTTCGCCAGGAGGTCGAAGCTCGTGCCCGACGCAAAGCAAAGCAAGCAGCAAAACAGGTGGGAGGGAAGAAAGGCAAGCATAGCTCTAGCATGCTGGAACAAGGGGAGGCGGTGGAGTCGCAGACATCACCCGCTGTCAAGCGCAAAAAAGAATTCAACTTCCAGACGTACAAGTTCCACGCTTTGGGCGACTATGTGTCTACAATTCGTCGATATGGCACGTCCGATTCGTATAGCTCCGAACCTGTCCGTCCGATAAATTTTTATCTTCACACTTAACTCACTGACCACTGTAGGGTGAACTCGAGCATCGCTCACCCAAGTCCAGATATCGCCGGACGGATCGCAAATCATTTGTGAAACAACTGACCCGGATCGAACGCCGCCAGGCTCGTATTCGTCGCATCGGTGACAAGATAGTTCATCGCCCCCACATCGAAATCGCAGAATTAGCCAGAAACCCGCACGTCCACCACCATATTGGCGCGACGGAAAAATGTCCTGTTCATATAGGATCGTATTTAATCAGCCACGAAGGTGATCCAGCGATCAAGGTGAGACGAATCATTTTGCACAAACGCCTCCTAACATGCCCCACAGAATTTCCTTGTAAAGCTCAAGGATCATCTGCTGGAACGAATTGCTGTGCCAGGAGCGGGAGAAGAGAATGACACTAATAAGGTCATTATCAAGGACGATAGGATGTATCGCCACAACATCGCTAGGTTCAACTACACTACCTACGACGTTCGCAGAGCTCAAGACGTCATCAACCCTAGGACTTCCCACTGCAATGTGATGGTTCTCCGCACTGCCAACGATGTAGGATACCAAGGGCACAGATTTATCTATGGTAACGTGCTGGGCGTGTATCATGTTAATGTTATCTATATCGGGGGGGGCATGGTCGACTACACCCCACTACGAATGGAGTTTTTATGGGTTCGCTGGTATGAGCCCACGGTTCAGGTCTCTACCTGGGAGACCTCGACCTTAGATCGGGTTAGATTTCCGCCCATGGCAGACCAGTATTCGTTCGACTTCCTTGATCCAGCAAATGTCCTAAGGGGCTGCCACATAATACCGTGTTTCGAGAAGGGCAAGAGACATCCGAAAGGATCGGGTATGTCAGCTTGTGCAGGGGACAAGGACGATTGGCGCGAATACTTCATTAATCGGTGAGTCAGGGGCATAATTTGTGTATAGCAATCTTGAACTCACGTTTTCAGGTTTGTTGACCGTGACATGCTGATGCGATTCCATTTCGGCCTTGGGGTCGGACACACTTATTCTCACCATCGCGGCGCGCAGGCTGATCTTCAGCGAGGAGGGAGCGAAGTAGAAGACATCCCCGCTGACTACGCGGGCACCGATGGAGATGCTGATGAATACAATAGTGAATACGAAGAGGAAGATGATGGTACCTCGAGAGTGGAAGCCATTGGGGAGCGATTTGGTGCCAGTAACGAATCATTGACAGAGGAATTTGATGATATGTACTACTCAGATGTAGATTTAGATTATGAGAATTAGCGGTGAGTCATCACACGTAAAAAAATTTAACGTTTTAGTATTCAAGTCGATGGCGCAGGGTTACGCTATTCTACGCATCGCGGCGATGCATACGTCCATTTTCAATACATCCATATGCATGTAATACATGTAATAAACAATGAACGTAATAACACGATGGCACTGCGATGGCACTCGCCTAATTTCTCGCAGGTATTATCCTTAAAAGCATCCTTTCTACCTCTTGACTCTTCCCAGATAGCAATGGACATCCTGTACAATCCAGACAATGGCGCGCCTTTCTTCGACTCTATTCTCTTTCGAGAAAAGGCGTTCTTCACCTTCTCGGTAAGTTGTGTTCTTCACTTCAAATCGTCTGGAGGACTCACCCCTTTTATAGTTTGTTTTGAATAATTGCCCTGAGGTAACTGCTTCGTTACCTTTCGTAGGGTATATTTCTGTTGGGTCCCGGCAGTTCTCTACCCTCTCTATGTATTTGTATTCCTTTAGATTTTTTTTTGCAATGTCTCATCGTCGGCGCAGTCTACACACGCAGATCTCGTCGCTGTAAGTGTTTATTTTCGCGCGCTATATACGCTGACTGTCGCTCTAGTTAAAATCGAAGGTTGTATTATCAGCTTATTTGCAAACTCCGTTGGTACACGATGCGGCCTATGAGGAAGCGCCAGGCCTGGTAGCGCCCATCTATGCGGTACGTTGAATCTCGACAGTGCCACACCTTTCCACTGATCAGCCCCACAGCTGGACCACCTGCCTCCTACGTTTAATCTTCCCTTGGTAGGCCGAAGGTTGGGCCACGCCAATCATAATTACAACATTTATGGTGTACGTGCACCTCACACTTTTATCTTTATCTCACCTGACAATATCATAGGTAACGTGGAACTTCGGGGACACCGTTGTCCATCTCGCACTCCATCCCTCAGGCTATGATACTGTTCTATATTCTGTGGGGTTCCCTCCTCTCAACTCGACATCTCTCCCGCCGATGCCGGATCTCACTCCTGATCTGACACAAACGGCTTTGATCTCACTGCCCTCGGTTATGATCGTGCCTAGTTCTTCGGAATCGTCTGGGCGATATCCCGCCGTTGATCGTTTACGTTACGACCCTCTTGCCAGCGCAACTCGGGCCTATAGTCCTGCCGCTGACTCTTCGGAGTCTGGTTTTTTTGGCTCATTCATCAGTTCATCCATCCTCGAGACTTCTCACAACGGCACCTCCGCATATCTGGCGTGCGGAGGCGACCCCAATGCCCACATGCCCCTCACCACACAAACAACTGGTGCTCATCGCAGACGCAGGAACAAAACCGAAAACACCACACTGCAAGTTATTTCGAACCAGTACCCCAACTGGGGAAAGGCTCTTGCCAACCTTTGGTGCATGATACGAGCCGCTGTTTGTTGCGGGGACTGTTCCAATCTGTTCCTAATCGTCATGTCCGATTATGTTACTGAGCGAAAGGTGCTGCTTAACTCCCTCTGGCCCGATGCTCTGACTCGGTCAAATTTGCAGCTGCAGGACTTGGAAAACGGTGTGCAGCTCGATTCTCTCTGACGCGCATGCTAAGTTCTCTCATAGTGGTCACAATAGCAAACAACACTCCCATGTCTGAAGCGGACATCCTGGCTCTTGTTCGTGTTATCCTTGTTTTCCCCTACCTGTCTCATCCCAGAACAGGGCGACGCTTGGTTTAGTCTCTTTATGCATGACAACAAGCGTCTGGTTACTTCGACACTCAAAAGCAATCGCTCTGGCTTTGACCTCAGCGCAATCTTCGGGACTGCGCTTATTAGTAAGGTCGTATCAATCCTATCTAGGCTGATGCCCCCACAGTCAAATCGTCTTCCACTCGCTGTAAGTGTTCTGAATTAACTTTGGTGCTCAAACTCTTATCTTGTCACACAGGAAAATGGTTTAGCGTGGTTTCTCCTCCACCAGGTCACAAAAGAGTTTATGTACCATGTGATCTTCCGGCACAACAGCACACGAGGCAATCGTATCTGTCTTGCGGATCTGCGCCCCGCAATCTTTAGGCATGCAGCATCCCCGCCCGTGACGACCTTGGCCTTGGCGGTGACCACTGTGAGTTGCTTCTACTTTATATTCTTTTTCATTCACCAATTCCATTAGTGTTATGCCGTCCTGTTGAACTTCCTTGATATTGAAGTCATAGACTTCTATGCATTCATGACTGTGAAAAATTTTCATGCGCATATGTGCCAGACAATTCCTATGCTATTCGAACAATCCAACGATTCTGGCCACGCAGCATTTATGTTGGCTATGAAAACGTTATGTGACATCAGGTAAGTTTACATAGATGTGATGTCTGCACCACTAGCTAATCAGAATGGAATGTGTAGGAGGGGCGATGTCGAACGAGTGAGCCGGCCTAAGAAGAAGAAAGCAGCCGCCTAACATTATGTTCCATTCATGTCGTCTGTAAGGAGCTCTTTTGAAATGTACATTGTCTTCCATTATCAAACCTTTGTGACTCCAAATTTTTTAAGGGGCTCAAGTACAGCCCCCTAAAAATTCATTACCGCAGCTAGAATGTCACCCGAGTGATCAAGTCGTCCTACAAGGCGATTACTTATAAGCTGTATCCATATAAGGTAAGTGACAATACCTATACCACTATCCATGCTCACGTGCCACTTAGGGGCTTCGGAAGAAGTCATCTCTTCCATAATGGAGCCTCGAGGACAGCCTCTTTTTTTTATTTTTATCGATGGCGCACTGATGGCACACCGATGGCGCGTGATCGTGTTCCTAAGCCTACAATATAGTTGTTTAAGCGAGACCTAGACTTCGCTGCATTCGAAACGTGTGTGAATTTAATCTCGTTATCGTTGTTTTCAGATCTAACGTTCTTACAGTTTGATCCATGGTGCGCCATAGCTCGGCCACCGCTCCTAGATCAACTGTATATGTTGAGTCAGCATTCAATGGCCGTGTGAACATACTTGAGTCCTCATTTTTTCTGCCCACCACCTTCGATATGTCAAATATTATTCTTTCTACATCAGATGCAGCTTTGAACCTCAATTTTCTTGGAATTGAACACAACGAAAACGACCTGGTGTCTTGGCTGCAGACAAAGGGACGTGAAACTGTTAGTGCATGTCTCTTTCCCTCATATCGTTCTCTCACAACCCCACCTCCAGCTTCCAGACTCCCTCTTTACCACAGCTTCCGTGCTGTTTGGATTGGTTGATCCACTTGATATCAAGGCTCTCGTTGAAGCGCGCCTCATGGAGGACGCGACGCAGACAGCCCTCCAGCAAGAAGAGGAGAGTTGCCTGGAATACCTCAAGCGAGGGGGGCGTTTTTTGATGGAGGAGCGAATGAATCGGGCTCAGATAGAGGTGTCATTGTTCACAAACGCTATTGCGAACTTGTGTGAAGAGCTGAACGCTAGATGTCACCCAAGTGAGTCATGTCGTTCGAAGGATCATGTCCGACACTAAATTTGTTCCTAGCTCCAAGTGGTGTTGATCCAAAGAAGCTGGTCACACCCAACGCTGTCGGGTATATGGGAGCATGCAAAGCGTCTGTCTCGGACTATCTCGCCCATACACAACCTACCAAGGCTGTTCAAGAAAAATGCCATGCATGGCTTCTCACGTCGTCGCAGTCTCGAGACACTATGCAAGATTCTAATGATTTCCCAATAACTCTGCAATACGCCTGTCGTCTTGAACATATCCTAAGGGCGAGTGCTATTCATATTACGAGGGCGTGGTATTCTGACGCTGTGCAGCCTGACGATAAATTTATTCCCCTACCTCGTGTAATGAAAGCTTGGGTTGACAACTTCACATATCGTGCATACACAAGTGCATCATTGGCAGAAGCCAACGAGCCCCCACGCCTCGACCACGGCAACAACTTCATAGCAAAGGAGTTTAAATCACTGCTTGTGCTCAAGTCTGATTTTCACATTTTGGACTTGAAGAAGCAACGCGCACAGTCCGAAGTTGACATGCTGTCTGAAGCCATTTTACGCATCGCTGAGTTCCACTGCAATGACGATGGTGGGCATGCAGCTTTTTCGAAGTATCTCATACTAAGATGGTTGTAGGCTGGGCTTCCACAACTGCCGAGACGGATGGATCAGATCTACCTGATGCTCGATTTGATGACTGGATGTCAACCTCATCCATTTCTTCCAGTTCCTGGTCACTCCCGTATTCTGACTTGTAGTTATATCACCGGGTTATCAATTTCGCTGCCTAGTCTAAGTATGCAGCTCATAGTTTCCACCGTTATATTACTATAACGGGAGTTAGTTGTACGAAGGACTTTATGTTATTTCTGACTGTTTTTTATATTACTGTGAGCATCAATCAGCATCTGTCCGCATGAAATGGTGGGAAAGTCTTTGGGCCTTGAATACCTCTAACACCCAAGGGACATACATGCTTGTTCACCCCACTCGAACACGTATTTTGGTACTTTGGTAAGGTTTCGTGCTTATTACCTCAAATCGTTCTAACCCCTATGTGGCAGTGCTTGTCTCACCTGTGCGTCTCTCATTTTCCGTGACAAGCAGTTACTTACTAGTGCCCTTAGAGCAGAAGGAGTTTTCTCCCGAAGAAGTCTCGTCCATGGTCCTCCTTAAGATGAAGGAGACAGCTGAGTCCTACTTGGGCTACAACGTCAACGATGCTGTTGTCACCGTTCCCGCATACTTCAACGACTCTCAGAAACAAGCCACCAAAGACGCAGGTGCCATCTCGGGAATGAACGTTCTCCGTATCATCAACGAGCCTACTGCTGCTGCCATTACGGTCTCGACAAGAAAGTTGTCGGCGAGCACAACGTCCTCATTTTGATCCGCACCTGTGCGGCCTTATTACGCCCGCCAGATTCGTCCACGCGCCCTTTATAGGGGGTATTGCGCGCCTACTGTAGTTCGCAGCTCCGAATCTTATGCGCGCCCTGTCTTATTGTCGAGAACATCCTCAGTCAAGTTCACGCTCATCGTCGACTGTCAGACGATCACATTTTCACATAGCGCTAATTTATACAGCAAGCTGAATCATTTCACGACGCCCAGCACCACGTTCTAACGTGAAAAGGTAAATCACCGATCTGTTGTACATGAGATATGCCCTCATACCTTGTCCAGTCTGCAGCAGCTCGAGGATTACGCCACACCACAGATACGTTCGAGCAACGCTCGATTCCAACGGCTCAAAAACCCTTTTAGCCTCCTCCATAACCCCACCCTCGCCACACCTTGATCAACCGCCTCATCTGCTCGCACGTTTGGCTGAGCCTCTACATCCGCTGGCACGTCTGGCCGATCCGCCACGACAGACCACCTATGCACTCGTCCGCGATAGATCTCTGGTGTTCTTGGTGGCAAAAGAGTCGGAATTCGGACCAATACCTATTGATTGTGTCAGTGATTCGCAAGTTACACAACGCGCAGGCCACTGACAGCATCCTGAGGGCCCATCTTAGTCACAGTCAAGTTCGCGATGTATAGGTTTATAGGTCAGTGGATGGTCTGAACTTGTGTTATTCGTACTTGCTGATATTTGCGACTTGATTATCGGTGTTTCCCGACAATTTCTTTTTTCAGACAACGAGCACCGCCGCTTTCCCATGGTGCGGTCCCTCTGGATCACCACGAACCGCAAGCACGCATACTAGGAACCCTGCCGATGAATGATCCATACTGTATGTAATTAAAAAACCTGCCCGCGGGCTGGCCTTTGAATATTACTGAATAGTTAATCCAGCTGCCTCACGCTCTCCCAAGTACACAGTGCAAATCATTGGAAAAGCCTGCCGCTGTTGAGAAGACCCGCGGGCAGCAGCAGAACCTTGTTCCTCCTGACCAACCCGTTACTCGCGTAAACCGCTCACGGCGCAATATTGAGTCATTTCGCCCCCTTCCTCCTCTGCCATCTGAACCCACACTGCAACTACCTTCCTTCCTCAATTTTTCGACCACCCATTCGTTAAAGTCTTCGCCTGCAAATCAGTCACTGGAAGAATACGAGATGATGGGTAGTGTGGTACTTAGTATTAGATTGAAGACAACCGTGAGTTTTGCCGCTTTTTGAATGGTTGCGACTTGTGGATTTGAGCACTCCAGCACAACAGGCGCGAAAACATGCTCTTCGACTTGTTGCACGTTCTACCTACCGCCATTCGTTCCTCTGATATCCAGGAACCTACCGCAGTTCTGCTTTCGGAAGCCGTGCTCTCTTGCATCACGAAGCTACGGGAAGATCGACGTCACCAAGTTATGCTTCAATCCGCCGGCGGGGACACTGATGTGGGCTCTTTACCTGCAGAGAGACTGTATGCCCTTCTTCGCAGCATCCTTGACTGCATCCTGGACAACAACCGTTCCGAATTGGTCCGCGGGAACCTATATGCCTCGTTGATCAATTACTTCCACCTTATCGGAGGGAGTGATCAGAGACCTTCGGGAGAGGCGTCATTGGAGACATTCGGATCACACTCATCATCAATGTCGATGTCAATGTCAATGTCCCTCTCCGTTCTCTCTTCGCGCGACGATCTGTCCCTAAATGAATCTCGATCTATTCGTGGGACGCCAACGCCTGCAATGAATGCCTCGGCGCTAGAGCAGGGTACGCTAGCTGCGTTGAAAAGTGTGCTGGAGAGGCTTGTCACAATCGTATCTCGGGACGCTATCGATGGCACCGAAGTTCGGAAGACTGTCGCTTTCATGCTGCTAGACTCCCTCACTCAACTATGCCGCTCGGACAAGTCCTGCATGCTCCTCACGTCTTTGGTTCGCTATGGAATTTTGTCGAACTTTGTTCAGGGACTGAAGGAAGCGGAGTCTCAAATGCAGTATGTGCTAAAACCAGACCCAGGTACGTGAGCGGTACACTTGTATCGCGAAGAAAACTGAAGAAATGTCGTAGACGATCTAAATATACGTTTACGAGTCAAAGATGTCCTTCTTGATACGGATGGCACAAACGAGGCCAGGCGCGGAACGGTTGCTCGAAGCTCGAATTTTCCCGATCCTGAGTCAATGCGAGTTCTTGGATACGAGACCAGAAGTGGATCAGTCGTTTATGGGTATGTTGACTTTGTCTTCTTCGGAGGGGTTTCACGTACTGAGTCGTTTTATGAAGACCAAGACTCTTTCTTGCCTTCGGCTATTCAGCGATACCACCAGCTTTTCATGCCGGCACTTCAGCTCGTTGCTGCGATGCTGACGACGTTGGGAGCTCAACATGCTACAGCGAGTAGTCAGGTAAGACTGATTTCTGAATTTTGTTGTCTGGTGGATGGACATTTACTTTGACTTGCTAATCAGGCACTCGACTTTTTATCAAGCCATCGAGAAACGATCATCATTCTCCTCAAAAACGATGCTGAAGAGATCGGCTTGTCAATTGTTCAAGAAATCCATCTCATTGTGTCGCTGAGCAGAAGTGTCCTGACCCTCATCCCAAAATCTGAGCTGGTGAGCCGCCGTTCTTACCCTTGCCTTACTCGGTGTCTGATGCTGTTCTAGATGTCGACAAATTCTGGGTTTGGTGGTACCCACAGAGCTGTGTTGGGCCTTGCTGCGAGGTGCCTTGGAAATAGAAACTGGAGCCAAGCAGTCTCAGACGGACGCAGAGGTTTTGTGAGCCCGCGTCTTTGCATCCTGGCATGGATCGACCACTCAATTTGATCTGAATTTGAGGCGCCAAGAACGGTTGCTCCTCAAGGCCATCGTGGAGTACTTGGAACTGCTAGTGAATTCACGGGTAAATTAGTGGCTGCCTTGCTTGAGCGCTTGCTGAAAAATTGCCACTGTAGAGCCTGAGATTACGCTGGTGCTTTCTTCTGTGGTCACGGTCCCTCGACATGATGAACGATCGTCTCGTTTTGTTGGTATGTAATGGTCCTCTCTGTGCTAACTTCACAATCTTACATGATTTGGCGTAGCCACCATACCGGCAGTCGGCGATGCTATTGAGGCGCTGAATGGACTCTGCGATGATATTTCAGAGACGTTGAAACAAATAGCTGACTTGTCTGCTGAACTGTCTTCGAGAGACCATATTCGAGTCGACAACATTCAGGAGGTACGTCTGCGCGTCTTTCTGGAGGGTGTTCCGAATTTGAACAATGTTTGGGTTCGTGCAGATTGTCAGCGTGTCTGATCCTGCTTTCCTACAAGATCTAGACATTGCGCAGAAGAGGTCGCTGATATTTAGAGAGTATGAGCGACTTAGGAACGAGGCTCAAGATGAGGTTAAAAACATGCTCGGTGAGAATCGTTTCGGAACGCTATTGCTGGGTGATATTCACGAGCGCATACACAGGCACTACTGAGATGGTATTATTGTTGCTGTGGCGCCATCTCGTGAGCTATGTGGAGCGTGATTTATCGAGCAGCAACCTCGGCGCCAGCCATAAATATGAAGAGCATCCTCAGGCTTCTTCCGCCTCCAGACTCTGATTCGTTCAAGGCGAATGCAGGCAAAAGATTGATCGGCGCGCTGGCGAGGCTATCAACATTGGATTTGGTGAGTTCGTTGGTTCGTGTTCGCGTGGCTTTTGGTGATCCTCTGGCGTTTGTCACCCCTGGAGTTGTCCACTGATCAACTTGGCAGAAAGGTTCGCTTCCTACTGCGCGAATAAAGGCTCATACTGCGAAAATTTATGGTATAGACTGGGCGCATGAGCGGAAGCACGACCTCGTTACTTGCTCTCTGACAAACCATCAAAGTGTGGGATGCGCATGATGCTCCTTCTTTCTCCCTTGATCAGTCCTCGCAAGCCAAGATTGAACCACGCTCAACGATCTCAACACGGTATCCCGTCTGGCGCGCCCTTATGAAGAGGAGCCTGAGAACGAAAGGTATAACCGCCTGTGCACCCTGGTGACTTGCGGGATACCTGAATTGGGGGTTCGGGTGCCCCCCCGGCACGCGTCGTTGTTCCTGGGCAGAGCACAGAAGAGGTGAAGGCTACTATTTGGACATTCCTCGAATCTCTGACAGAATACAGTTCTGACTAGGCCTCTTCCCTACCTTCGATCTAAGGCAGGGCAGAAGTATCTGAAACGGGGCCGTCGACATCATCGATCACGCCGGCATGCACGATTGATCTCTTGCCCACTACAGTCCAGGAATCGTCACCCTCATTTCCTAGGCACAAGCGTTCTAGAGAACCTTCCCCCCACACCTCTCTTGCTTCATTCGACCCCCAACCCTCAAAACCCGTTCGTCATGAAACAAAACCCTCGTCATCTGCCAGTGTCTCCCGCAATAATTATTCATTGCCAGCAATGCCCGGGGTCAATCCTCGTGACCACGTGCACATGTGGTATTCAGATCTCCTGGGGGATGTTGACGTTCCTCCCGCTCCCGTTCGTGTCTGACCTCTCCCAGACCACCGAGCATATTCGGCAACAAATCTACAAATAGAAGTGAATGGGTGAGTACAATCAATTGGTCGTTGTGATCTGATATTCATCGCACCTTAGATGTCACCACTCGTCTCCACCAACTTTTCAGCTTGAAGCTGCGCCTTCCACTCATAACCGGCTTCTCGCTCCCCCGCTTTTCACCCGCCGGCTTGTTGGGCTTCTCGCGTTTGTTACCCTTGAGTTTGTTCTTCGTCGCCTTTGGCGATGGTCTACCGCACACGCAGATCAGATACAGATCAGTCCATACTATACAATAGATAATACAATACTTACTCTTCCATACGCCATAGCAGCTGATGAGATCGTTCAAAAATATTCATAGCTAACCAAACCGGCTGACTTACACTTACCTCGTCTTGTGGTGACATGTGAGGAAATATGAAGTGGATTGTGATCCTTGCTGACCGTCCAAGTTTCTATGTAGCACAGCAGGACCTAAAAAGATACACTTCCCACACCTTTTACCTCAGCAATCGAGATTACCAACGTTGAGTCCTTCCCAGCGCCCCACGACGACCAGCACACGGCCACTCCATCTCTCCCATTAACTCCTTGTAAAATGGGCTCGACATCACGTCCCTCATTGCCCATTGGGCTCCTAGCAACTTGGTCTGCTTGGCGTCCGCTAGCACACACTGGTCTCCTGACTCCTCCAATGTCTGCATCTCTACCAAGGATCGGTGCTCCCCAGGCGGCGTCCTTGCCACCCATTGCTCACTTTGATCGTCAGGTATCATGCATGCATCCAAGTATGTGTTTCCTACTGTCATTCTCACCATTAATTATTTATCTTGCCAAAGTAACACCGCCGCGTACTCAAGACGCGTCCTCTTCGTCGCGACCTATGGTTCTCTTCGTCGCTTTCGAGCTCGACATCTACTCAACCACTCACCCCTCCCTATTCCCCTGAAATTCCTGCTGCCGCCTCCTCTCTTCAACTTGCTGCAACGCCGACCCTCGTGTCCTTTATGCAAAATTTGCTAGAAACTACGCAGGTCAGCCAAATCGATCGTCTTGTCACTCTATTACATATGTGGCATTGACGGCCGTTCATGTCGCAAGGGATGTCGAGATCGTCGATCGCGACGCGTTGATTCTGGACTTGCGCGAGAACCTCGCTCATGAATCAGGTGAGTTGATTATCGCTGCTGCTAGTACATGCAATGATTTTTGTTATAGATCTGGTCTGGCGCACTGTGAATGAAACCAAGATTATCCCAGTGGATCCCTCTCAGTCTTTGGACCAGCGCCTCTTTGACGAGTACGATATCTGTGTTACTGGTGCCGCCATGGAGCAGTTCGAATCTCGTCCATCTTGGAATGACTTGGTGCAAAATACCTGGGTTTATGCTCGCGTCTCGCCTACGCAGAAAGAATTCATTCTTACCAGTCTCAAGACGCTGGGCTACACTACGCTCATGGCTGGAGATGGCACCAATGATGTCGGTGCACTCAAGCAGGCTCATATCGGCGTCGCTCTTCTAGATGGGACACTCGAGGACCTCCAGAAAATAGCGGAATATCAGAAAGCTGAGCGGATTAAGAAGGTCTACGAGAGCCAGCTGAAGATGTCGGCGAGGTTTGGACAGGTGCCACCACCTGTACCTCCTGCTATTGCGCACCTCTACCCGGATGTTGTTGAGGCGCAGAAAAAAGCCGCGGAGAATTTACAAGCCGCACGTAAAAAGAATCCGATGGAGAAGGTGGGGTTGTTTTCCTTGTGAGACTTCGCTGGCTGACGATATTTTAGTTTGACCTCGCTTCGATCACTGATGCTATGGCCAACATGGAAGGGTTCCTTGTCCATAATTTCAGTGAGTCGCCACTGGCCTTTGTTATGATCCCATGCATGTTTACCCAAGCCCCTCTTATTAGTCTGATTCCATGGTCGAGATTCAGCGTACCCAAAGCGAGAGTAGTGGTTCATTATCCCCTTCTGCAGAGGAGGAGAGCAAATACCGCCTTCTCTATAGTAAATCCAAGGTCTACGTCAATCCGACCGCATACGCCAGAGATAATATTCCGGGATTCGTAGCTCTTGTCAAGCGCGTGAGTCGTTAGGTCATATTTCGTATCTCTCGCTCATACATTATCATCCAGGAGGCTGTGAATCCTACCTACCTGCTTGCATGGATTCCGGAGACACTGCTCTGCGAGAAGGGAACCGACGAATGGGGCAAGTTTGTGAAAAGGCGATCTTAGATGAGGAGGATGAAGGTCTGCAGCTTCTTCCTCTGTTTCAACCCGTAAACCTCACACGATTCAAAGATGCGGTTCTAATCGACCTTCCTACCCAAAGACCAGAGTCCTATGCATTCTCGGTCCCTCTGACTTCGATATACTCTCTTCTTGTCAATCCGCCTACCCTTTCATCATGGTGTACGTTCTCATGTTGTCTGTGGACATTGGCAGGGCTGAACCAACCACTAACAGATGGTACTATCGGTATAAACCTCATAAACAGCTCGACTCTCCCAACGCTTCACTTCCACGATGACGAGTCACTTTCAATGACACTACCGCCTCGACATACTAGTAGGCACAACACCACTAGTGCATACCCTCCTACATCATCTTCCCGACCCTCTACGTCATGGGGAGGGGAAGATTTACTCTCTCGTTTAAGATCTTACGCCCACCTACTCCGCTCCACATTGCAGCCTAACATGTTCATCGTCGGTGATGAGGATGTTCCTCAGATTAAACTTGGAGACACTTCATGCGCCGCACCATTCACATCGAAGTTGCCCCACGTCGCTGCCAGTGAGTTTGTATACGCTTACCGTTGAAAGTTCCTACTGAGCTTTGGAACAGTTACCCACATTATTAGGCAAGGTCGCTGTACTCATCACATTCGGCACAATGGTACGTATCCATATTTATTCATCCCCGCGTGCAAGTTTATCACCTTAACTGCCAGACACAAGTACACGAATTGGGCTATGTCGAGTGCAGCAAATCATATGTCTTCCATGGTGGCAAGGAGTATACGCAGAAACAGATTCAAGACATGCTCGAACTCAGCACGACAACTCGCGCCGCACCCCGCGCCGGCCAGCCCATGCCCCAACAAGCATTTGGAGCCGCCCGTTTCTTGCTTCCTGTACAGCAATGCGAATTCTAGCTTACTGGTATTTTGGAAGCACTCGCTCGTGATCCTTGGCCCGTTGCCAATGACAAGCGCTCTTTACGTTGCACTGGTGTGGCCGAAAGTGTAGCTGTTGGACCCCTGGAGGTGCGTATATCAATTGTTGGTGAGAAGAGTATCCGAGTGATGATATTTTCCAGACGACTTTCCCTTACACGGGCGCACGTATAATGATTTTTGCGGGTGGACCTGCAACAGAGGGTCCCGGCATGGTTGTCAGCAATGAGCTGAAGTAGCCCATTCGCTCTCATCATGACATCGAACGAGACAGTGCCAAGCACTACAAACGCGCTATAAAGGTTCGTCCTAGATTGCTGCTGCACTTGCGCATCATAACAATCACTCGAAATTTTGCAGAAGCGAACTCTCCGAGCATAACTTCTTCCTTCGACCAAGAAGCCGCTGCCGTACTCTTGGCAAGGATAGCGGTCTCCAAGGTCGAAATAGACGACTCACCAGGCGTTCTGCACTGGCTTGACCGCATGCTCATCCGTCTCTGCCATAAGTTCGCAGACTACCCAAGGGAGGACCCTGTCAGCTTTAGACTAACGGATAATTTCAGCATCCATCCACAATTTATGTTCCATCTCCGGAGAAGTCAGTTCTTACAAGTGTTTAACAACAGTCCCAACGAGACTGTATTCTACAGGTATGTACCTTCAATGTGCGGTAAACTATTGGATGCTAAGTAGCCATATGACAGACATATTCTCAACGAGGAAGACGTTAACAACTCTTTGATCATGATCCAACCTACTCTAATGTCTTATACATTTGATGCCGAGCCTCAGCCTGTCTTGCTGGACAGCGTCTCTATTAAACCTAATGTCATCCTTCTTCTCAATACCTTCTTCCATATTCTTATTTTCCACGGTGAAACGGTCGCTCAATGGAGGAAGGCAGGTTACCAAGACCAGGATGGGTACGCGAACTTCAAAGAGCTGTTGGAGAACCCTATTACAGATGCTCAGGTGCGACTATTAGGCTGTGCTTCTGACTCACTTTAACGGCCGTACATCCAGGACTTGCTCGTCGACCGCTTCCCTATACCACGATACACCGTCTGCGACCAGAGTGGCAGTCAAGCTCGATTCCCGCCATCCAAGCTCAATCCTTCGACAACTCATGTCGATATCGATGTATGGCACTGCACAAGCCGCAGGCGCTGGCCAGGCGATCTTCACGGAAGATGTACAACACTTCTACTTACATTCACGCTACTATGTACCGCTACTAGTCAAATGAAAATACATTCTAACACGTTTTAATTCCAATAACAATCTATAGCCAGCCGATTACATATCAGAATTATATCTCACTTGTACAGTCAGCTAATAATGTTTGTTGAGGTTAGCCAGTTACAATGTATGAAACATTTAATTGTTGTGTTGTTGTCCCATCTAAAATACATGATCAATATTATATCTCCCTCGTATTGTCACCATTTAAAAAATGACACAGCGGATTATAATTCTACTAGAGATGTGATAGCCTGCAGCCATGCAGTTATCTCACTGTTGTTTGCTTGCAATATGCACGCCAAGATGGTATTTCTCCGGCATAGTCTTATCTCATTTTACCTATGTGTTACACCATAATAAAATTATCAAATGACGTGCAAGCAGGCTGTCACAATTGTAGTTCTTGCACCTTCTATGCAACCCAGATAAGATATTTCTCACTGTTTAAAAATGTCACAGTGGATTATAATTCTACTAGAAATGTGATGACCTGCAGCCATTCAGTTACAGTGCATGGACATGCAGTTATCTCACTGTTGTTTGCTTACAAGATGCACGCCAAGATGGTATTTCTCTGGCATAGTCTTATCTCATTTTACCCATGTGTTACACCATAATAAATTTATCTAAGGTTAAAAAATGACGTGTCATAATGAGTTTTGGTTACCAATCCTGTCTGGTCATATCAATTTCGGGTTGATTTCCTGATGTATTGCAGTGGTTTGGACATTCAATGTGTTGGAAAGTGCAAGGTTGCGTGTAAGCTAATGTAACGTGTACTGAAACTAAGATCTCGGTATATTTGGGTCTACGACAAAAATAGAAATAGTATTTTGGTTGTTTGTGGTACATCCCAGTAGGTCCTATTTTCACTGGGTGTCAACCATTGGCGTACGTGTGACCAGCTCTTCTCACTTTTCGAACGTTATAGAACAGAACGAGCTGTCGTCCCCACACGCAGCTCATCAACGTTGCATCGACCACCACCACCAGAAAACACTTCTTATCGATACCGTTTGAAGCAAACCCACACATGGAACAAAGAATCAAAACATGGCATACGCAGGCATGTGTACGGTTCTGCGATCTTCACGAATTGAGTGTTGATGATGTGCGTGATTGTTTTATCACTGGATCTTAGTATGGGGTGCAGGACCTGGGGTATTTAGTCGAGGTGTAGGTCCTTCGCCTGGTGCTGATCCCAGTAAGTTTAAGTGCTTCTTATCAGCATCATCGTCATCGGCGTCGTCATCGTTGGTGTTCCTTCTTGGCTGACGGGCGTATGGAGGACTACGGGAGACTAACACCATTGGGTTCAACGAGGTACCATTTCCCCACCATACAGACCGCCAGGCAGTGCTATTTATGCCTTAGCAGTCCACGTATACAGTGTTGCTAAAGCAACACAGACTGAGCCAGTTCAAAGATACTACCAAAACACGCCAATGAATATGAAGACTTACTCGTTTATCGGCCGGTCACCTAAGCAGTGGCAAATCGTGAGTCTGTGTGACTCCAAGATGATCTGTGTAATAACCAGCAGGGGAGCATCAGATAGTCGCAGGGAAAAGACCGCTGGTAAAGGTAGTTTCTTTACCCGTGAAACAAGACTTCAGTGTATTGCATGCGAAATTTTTGTCCCCCCCCCCCCCCCCGTACGTGAGTGAATGGGCAACCGCTTGATCAAGCTCAAGCATGGATCACACATGGTAGCAGTCAAGCCCTCTAAAAGAGCCCAATTAGGCATTGCATGGGCCAAATCCGTGTGGTGCAAACAGGATGAACCGAGTCCATATATCAATGGGTGACAACACCTTTCTGTGCCATCAATGTCGAGCGGCACATGCTGAGTGGTCGCTGGTCACATGAAGGTGTGGGCGATAGCCAATGGTACTAATCGCCTAGATAATGACGGTCGTGGGGAAGCCCTGAACGCACACCCACTTCATTTTCCTTGGGCATGCGCAACAACCCATGGGCAAATACCCCATACCGGAATCCTATCCAACCTATTGACCAAGGAACAGGATGCTAGATCGCTTGCACAAGTGAAAAGTTTTATTTTCTGACAGCCTATTCCAGCAGCGTCGCGATGCTAATTACAGTCATCGACATAAGTGTCAAACTATTCCGAGTTAGCAAGAGACAATTTAGTTAAAAGTGGGACGGCGCTCACTATACATTCCTCGAAGAGTACACTGGAATTTATAATAGCCTCGTACACCTTCTTAGCGACAATTTGTGGTAAATGCACCGATGGAGCAGCATCGACAGCCCCCTGTATCACCTGCTGATTCCGAGACGGATCGTTGACAGCTGCAATTGTGGCCTTGAAGCGGGTTGCTTCTCTCACGTACGAGGTTCTGGAGGCGCATAAAACTTAGTGACATGGAGAAGTATATGGAGCACGTTTAAATTTTACCTAGTCGACAGGAGCTGTATGAGCTGTGCATCAATGGTATTTAGCTGTCCTCGAACTTCGTCCAGCGAAGAACAACATGTCGTGCCATTTGCGTATTGTATGGTTGGATCGCCCCATGGTATGGTACGGTTGTCAGTGGAGGGTGGTATAGAAGGGAGAGGATCGAAATAACATGTGTCAGTAAGGGAGGACGCCACGACAAAGCCAATGATTTGAAAGGCGACAAGAAAACCGAACATCCTGGCAGCCCGCTTTGTGTAGTACTGCAGTGGCTTTTCGAGTGGTGGTTGAAGAAGCGAAAATGGACTACAAACAGTTCGGTTGATTAACGCAAATGAAATTAGCCTGTGAGTCGTGACGTCACTGACGTGTGAATGTTATTAGACGCCTTAATATTACCACGTGATGTATCACGTGTTGCCTGTTTAAACATTGCGTGTCATCGACGACTCGTCGCGGCTGGCGTTTGTATCGCGAACATTTGGCGAAGGCATCTGAAGAACATCAAGCCCGCATTAGACCACATAGGTTCCAAATTTCTGTGAAGGCGTAGCCTCCGCGTGATCATTTATCCAAGGTCCAAGCAATGGTAAATGCTATCTGGCAAAAAGCATCACCCAGTACATGGGCTACATGATCAGCCGTCAAATACCAGTTCAATAGATAATGCACAGCCTTCTCAAGCCCTAGCATTCAAACCTCAAAATCCCGCCCAGCGTCAAACAGCGCGGCCGAACTCTTGGTGACGACCGCCCACTCCGGCAAGAAAAGGAGCACCTCCTCCAGCGACGGAATCTTGCCCCCAGTACGCCCTCCACCAACCGTAGCACTTTCATACTCTGCCCAGCCACAGCTCACGCGCCCCTTGGCCTTTTCATCCTCGCCTCCCGCGAAATCAACGTCCACTTCAAACTCCTTCTCCCAATCACGACTCCACAGTCTTATTTGCTCGAGCCCGTCCTCGGGTACCTCAGAACCACCTTGGAGACCTTTTCCGCTGTCGCCAGAAAGATGGAAGCTTTTTACGCGTTTGCCGGAGAACTGGAGAGTGCAGCTTCGAGTATTCAATCCCTGTACCTTGATGCGCGCGCTGTTTGATCCTGTGCGCTTGATAGATGTGGTTACCCACTTCCCTTCCTTCTCCAAGGGCGATGTAGGGTCCTGCTCAAGATGACGCTTGAGTCCACCGGGAGAGGGCACAAACGCATCCCCAACCTCCCATTTACAAGTCTGCAGGCCGAGCTTGTCTGGAGCCTCCGTACAATTGATGGCTTGGTCAAATGCAGATGGGAAGCGGGGGATAATGGCGGTCGACAGGAATTGACGAGGCCCAGTCAGTGCAGTGACCACGCGAGACGTGTCTAGGTCCACACTTTGAGCAAAATAGATTTTGAGTGGCGCTTCTTGTGAGAATGGGAATACCAGATAGGTGTAGAGTGTTGACAGGACGAATATTAGGAGAATGATGCCGTTCAGCCAGCGATGCATGTTCATGCTGAATGGTGCAAGGGGGATAACAATGAGTAACGCCAGCATCGAGACCGCTCCATAAACTGCACAACATGTCAGCTCACAAAGGCCAGCGCAATACGAGATCCGTTAAAAGACTCACCACCAAACGGACTGGTTCCGTCTGTGAGCGTCTGATTCATCGCGAATATTAAGATGACTGCGATATGAGACACTAGGATAACCGGCAGCGGCACAACAACCAACAACTGGGCAATCCACCAGCCAATAGCGCCCTGCTCTTCACCTGACGGCGCGTGCTCGCCACGCTGAGCGATGAGAGGTGTAATCTCTGTCGGCTCGGTTTCCTCAATTACGCCCACGCGCTGGTGCCCGTTCTCGGAATCCTGATGGCCATTCTCGGCGGTGCCCACGGCATCGTAGTGGATACCTCGCACGCGACGCCTCTGCCTACCACCCCCAACAATCTCTTCCTCGTCTTCATATCCCCGAGCACCAGTCATACCTTCAACACACGCGAGCACAGCTCCAAGGAGAACCACAGCGTTCCACGCAGTTATGAAATATGTTCCTCCCAGCGTGACGACTGATGTTGCATATACGAGCAGCGCCCATGTTAGAACATACTGATGGAGGAGGATAGACAGCTTTTGCTGTTCTGGAGCAGGGACAACGCCATGTTTCGTCAGTGGGAAAGTGAGAGCGAGGACTGTCGTGAGATAAGCAAGCGACAGGGCGGACGCAAGTACAAGCCAAGGGTGAGTGTGAATGACCTGATGATTGATATGTGAGTGAGTGAGTGAGGAGCACGAGAAAATAGACACTGACAAATGGATTCAGCTTCGCATACCCGACCACCAAAAGCATCTGGAAGCCGACACCAAGTACCAAAGCAGTCCAGAATTTAGACCAGACCCAAAAACTTTTCAGGAAATGCTTTATTTCCGTCGACGCACGCGTCATAAAGCTCTCGCGGTGTGCATCAGCATGTTGGGCGCGATAGTATCCAGAACGAATGCGAGACGTGACTCTGATGATATGCTCGAAGTAGACCAACGTTAAAAGAATGACAGGTCCGACGGTAAGGAGGACGATATTTACGATCCACAGAGTTTGGAGTGTGAACACGATCATTATCGCACCAAAGACTGATAAGAGGAGAGTTGTAGATGCCACCAGGTGGGATAGCAATGAAAGAACTCACGATCGAAATACACCGGCTCACTTCCTTGTCCAACTGACTCGGTCCTCGTTTTGCCCTTTGCGTCGTTTGCAAGCATGACGCTCGACGACAATGTTCCTTCCATCATTGCCCACAGCGCGTTTTTGCTCTTGTCACCGGTCATACCAGGGATAGAGTCGTACTTCGTGTGATACCTGCTCCTGCCGCGGTAGAAAGCAAAATCTAGTCCCTTGAGTCCAGCTTGTTCGTAAACCGAGTAGTCTGTACCACTGCGAATAACACCACGCGCAAACGCGTCGCCAGTGATGACATTTGCGTGCGGACGAGAAGTGCTCCATGACGCCAGAGGAGCGCGAGAAGTCGCTCGGAAAAGTAGTGGCCGTCTTGAGGATTCCAGTCAGCAAAGTGCTACAGCATATGTCGCTCTGAACAGCTCACCCTCCCGCCGCAGCACCTTCAAGGTTCAAGAAAGTATCAGTGATGTTGGCCCACGGATGCTCCATGAAACTGACGAACCAGATTAGTAAGTGCAAGGCAAAGAAAAAGCAGAATTGTAGCGTACACATGCGCTCCATTTAAGCCGTCTTCTTCGCCATTATTGATGTTGAAGACCACCGTCCGGCTTGGCCTGTTCTCCGCAAAGTACTTCACCATGCTCAAAAGCGTCACTACGCCCATACCATCATCTGTCGCCCCGGGAGCGGTGCTGACAGAGTCCCAGTGTGCGCTGAGCAAAAGTCCGCCTGACTCTTGAAATCCCTTATCGCTTCCCTCGACCTTGACCAATACATTGTCAGACTCGTAGTATACGGCGTACGGGTTGGTGGAGAGGAGTCCTGAAGCCCAAGACGCATTTGAAGAAAGGTCGAAATCCACAGAGACATGGTCATAGGAAGAAGCGATATCTTTTACTCGGTTCAAGATGTAGGAACGAACTAAAACATTGGCATGCGAGTTGAAGGGATGCGGACGAGCGGCCACCTGGAAGAACTGAGTTGAACTGGTTGCATATCCATGAAAACCACGCACCTCGTGTAAGTCTCTGTATGTCTGCTGAAAATCCAAGCCCTGTGTATGCTTGGGCACAGAGGGGAGCTGGTCGGTGACCAGTAAAGTGCTGAAGACTGCCACATAGATGACTGTTATGAGGATAGTAGTTGGAACAGTGCGAAACGCGAGCACAGCGGATAGCCCGCTAAGGAACCCCATGTCTCAGTTTCAGGTTGAACCTCGCCGAGCCAATACACAGCTAAATCACAAAACCTGGTGCTCGACGTTGGAACTTGGCCACAAGCGTCTATTAGCTAATTACAAGCTTGCTGAATGACGAACGTGTGGGGTAAATATCGATCAATAGTGGTCACGAGTCCACCTTTCACCGTGGGTACAAAAGAAGACCTATCAACCATATTCCTGCTGAAACAAGCGAAGACGAATTCGCGTAAGTGGTGCAAAATTTAACATTGCTACTTTACGCCGGGAAACGTATCCTTCAGATGCTTTTTCTTCAAGCATCGCGCAGTCACACCGCATGTCCTGCACTGCCGCTCCTTCGGCTCAAATGCACCTTCATCATACCCACTACCCGCAATATTAGGGTGCCTGTCACCATAGTATGGCTCAAGACCGCCACCATCAAGGTAACAGGGTGACGACAAGCAGTAGCTTACGCCAAAGTTCGCCTTTGGACAATGGCAAGTGCCTGGTGGGCGATCAATGTACGGCACACCTGAGTCTCACAATTTCAGCAAAAAAATTAAGGAGATGAGAGCCATGAAACACACCTTGCATATCCGGGCGTGCACAATTCTTGCATATGGTGTAATCACAAGTTGTGCACCGCTTGAAGGCGTCTCCTACATGCCGCACATTGTCCTTGTCATTCTCATGTGGAGCTGTGCCACGGAACGGCCAAAAACAACCATCGCATATCATTGCAGGAGTCGGGTTCTGCTGACGCTCTTTCCAAAGCAGTTGGAACATCCCATTGACATCCCCCAGCATCGTCCCCGGCTTATGCCATTGTTTCATCATTTTTTCCACCTCCGAAAAGATGGCCGACCTGATGCAGACGGTGCGTTTGTGCTCTTTCCAGTCAACTTTCTGGCACTCCACGCTAGAGAAGAATTGATATGTTAGACTACGAGTTTAATAAGCGCTGATGCCTGTCACGTACGAGCAGTAGCTGTCCCAACCATCACAAATCAGATAAAAGGTTTTTATCTCTCGTAGTAGCTGGTACTCACATCGTTTTCAGACATCTTGAGCATCGTAGCGGCTTTTCACATTCGATCTTGCACACACTGCAATGGCGCATGATGGTAAAGGAAGAAAGAGTGGAGAACGGCAGGCTCGAGCCTCGATGGGATGAAAAAAGTCACGGCTATTCGGTAGCAGCAGCGCCGCATGGTGATGCGGCCCCGAACCATGCATGATTTTTATGTCACAGATCACCAGAAAGAGGTGTGTCTCCTCCTTCAGTCTCGAAAAAACTCTCGGGGACATGCCACCACGGATATTCACCATTGGGACGCAGACAGGCAACAGCTAAGCTGGCTGTCAGGAACGTGCTTAGAGGGAGTTTTCCTGTCAAGTTTGAATCTCGTAGCAGGGGATTTCCAGGTGCCGAGAAATACGCTCCTTATTGACGATCATGAATCGAGGCTGGTGGCAAAGCTTTCGGACAGATATACAGCGGCCATGGTGAGAGTGAACCTGGAGAGATGCATGAATTGCCAGAGGAGGGGCTAGATGCTTCGCTCAAGATCTTGCAAGTTGATATCCCGAAATCGCGGATCGGAGTAGGGCGTCACGAAGAGGTGTCGAGCACGACTGCGGGGAAGGACAGTGATGAATACTTGGTCTCCAACGTCTGCTACAAATCAAATTACAGGGTATCTGTGTGTGTCTCATATCGTTATGTATCGTCAAGATTGCTCAAAGATGTCATCCGAGTCTTCAAAAAAAAAAAAAGACAGCTACAATATTTCAAGTGTTCTGATATCCATCATGCTGTGAACAGATGTCACAGCTTTGACCTGTGCAATGATATCGTGATCTGATGCGATCCTCTTATACTCTCCGCCGCGCTGCTGCGCGAGCAAAAATGCGCCAAACGGCTGTCCGAAGCGAGCGATCAATCGCAATGCTTGCAAGTGAGATTCCGAATCAACAAGTTCCTCTTCTCCAGGCAAATTGCCGGCGGACTCGTCAGAGTCACCTAGAGAAAACTCGGACTGAGGTAAATCTCCCAAGCTTTCCGCATCGTCTGCGAAGTCAGGCAACTCGAGGAGACGACGGTCCCACGGACGGACGAGCAAGAATGTCTGTCGAGTTGGCCTGAACCGTGAGAATTGTACCAACTTCTCTTCGGTGGTGATCAGCAGGTCATGAAGCCCATCTGCCTTGACTGTATATGTGAAATGAATTTCGTGGGCTGGACCACGACCCCGTCTGACTTCGGTGACAGGAAATGTGATGCAAGGTAGATGGAGTCTGCGGTTTGCGAATCGAGGGGCCCTCATAGTGTCAAGCTTGTCATAAAGCCTCAAGGCTAAATCCACAGCGACTGTTTGTCGTAGCGAGGAGACCGCTGTCTCAAGCTCGCCTTCAGACAAAGACGGAAGGACGCATGGTGGAGCTTCATATGAGGAAATGTCGGCCGGAAGACAACTATTGAACTCGGATGGTTGTCCCACCCAATCTAAAGCAGTGATATCGCCTGAGCGAGCTATGATCTCCTGTAGGAGCCGACCGAGCGCGTTTTGCTTATTCTCGCCGTAAAGGATGGGAAGTTGGATATCGAAGATGCCAAAAAGTGAGTACACAATGTCCTCCGGCACGGTGGTGACGCGCGTAGACGCCCATTGGAGTTTCTCTCGGGAAGCTCTCATCCCCGGCTGGAAGGAACGAAGGGCGCGTACATCTATGCCCGTTGCATCCTCCAACTCATGCATGATCTCGACAGACTCCTTGTGGTTGTGGGAGTGATCGTCGAGATATGGAGTCCAATCCTGTTGGCAAAAACGAATGACGGTAGGAGCAAGGAATTCTGGGACAGTCCATCCTCGGGTGTTCCAAGCGCTCTTGGCCAGTGCGCCAGACTTGGACGAAGGTGGAACATCCGACAGGTAGACGACCGTGAGCGATGAATGGCGATACCAGGCATACATGGAGTTGAGCGATTGTTGGAGCTCGACGTTGTTGTTCTGGTCGATGCAACATGAATCAACCCACGCCCAGTGATATCCCGCGTGACGAGCTGTTGTGCAAAATGACTGCAGCTTCACGAGACCGTCAGCTGTCTTTAACTTGTACACGTCCTTATCCTGGATATCGTGCAGCAGTGGCTCGTTCTCTCCCCATCTGTGGGATAACATGACATAACGGAAGTACGTCGCCACCGCGTCTGCAATGCGCTCCATTGGGAGGTCTGGATGCGTCGCGATCGATAACAGAAGCTCATTGTACTCTGAGCTTGTTGTGAAGGCGCTTATCTGCGCCCCTCGATCACATAAGAGCCCCGTAGTGGTGTGGAGTAGACGAAGTGGGGCAGTGTAGGGTTGAACGTCGATGGACCTTCGAATGAGACCTTCTGCTTTTGAGTGACTGTCGTACTTCCCGTGCAGCTCTGAGGAATGAATTGAGTATCTGGACGCGCATGTTACTTAGGGCTTACTTTGTGTTTGCAAATCATGAGCACTGTCCAACCTCGCTAGCTTCGTTTGGAAGGGCTCAGTTGTTTCGCTGTAGCGTTGCGTGCCATGAAGCGCTGTATGCTTCGACTGATATCCGACATGAGACGGAGGCTTGAGTGCGATGGCCTATGTATCACCAAAATGAGCATTGGCTAAAACAAAGCCTGAGTGGACGCCATCTTACCTTCTGCACATCGAGAAGTGTATCATCCCGTGTAGCATTTTCCTAGAGTTTATATGTTTGAACGCAATGAGATCTTCTACGAAGGTGTTACGTACAGGGAGTGCCATCCTGTTGGCCTGACAGAGCGCGTTCAGTGATGAGAATGTAATGAATACCTGTCGACTCACCTTTGGATCCAACAGAAGTTCGTTGAGGCCAGCTTCTTTAAGAATGGTAGCAACATCCCATGAGTACGCTTTCTTGTCCCAGGAACCAGTTGTTAGTAGTTTTCCATCCGCGGAAAACGATACACAGTTAACATTATTTGGATGCTGGAGTGGAGAACTGATGGGCTGGCCGTTGTCGATGTCCCACAATCGCACTGTCTCGTCCCACGATGCGCTTGCGAGGACGCGGCCATCTGGAGATATTGCAATGCCATGGACAAGGGAAGTGTGCGCATCGAGAACTGCGATCTTCTTCCAAGTTTTTGTATTCCATGTCCGAATCGAGAAATCGTATGACCCGGAGATGAGCGTTTTTCCATTCGCGGTCCAAGCCAGGCACGACACCGTTCCTGTGTGTCCTTTGAGAGTTGCGACAAGCTTGCCTGTCTTGGCATCCCAGATTTTAATTGAGCACTTGTTTTTACGTTCATCAACTGGCCTATCACGTCCACCAGTTGCAATCATGGTCATGTCTGGCGAATAGATGGCTGCGTACACCGTTACATGCCCTGTGTTGATTGGCCCGGGTTCCAGGATTGTCTCTTCGCTCTCCACATCCCACTGCCTCGCTGTCCCATCATAAGACCCGCTCACTACTCGCTGACCATCTCGACTCCAACAGACAGACAACACTCCCTGTGTGTGCCCCGTCCATTTCGCGATGACCTTGCCTGTCTCGATCTCCCACAACCTCACTCCACCGTCAACACTCCCGCTAACCACTTTATTCCCATCGGGAGACAACGCTATACTCATCACTGTACTGTCTCCGTCCCGCCAGTCTTCCCCTATCTGTTTCCCGCTCTCCAAGTTCCATTCCCGCAGCGAGCCATCATTTGAACAAGTAATGATCTCCCGTCCGTCAAGTAGGTGTATGGCGCCCGAGACCGAACTGGTGTGTCCTTCAAATTTCTGGCGAGGCGTTATTGCTGACGTCTCTTTCTTTTTAGTTGTGGGTGAAGACACATTCCAAAATTTCAACTACCGAGTGCAGCGCTGTCTCAGCTTTCACCCACCAAATTCCAAATCCATTACTTACCGAGGACAACAGCGACATGCGGATAGTGGGGGACGATGGGAGTTTCGGTCAAGTCAGAGTTGAATTCACCGCTTCTTGGTACATGTGACATGTTGTATCCTCGTGTTCACAGCTTATGTATAGCATGGGCTGTGCAGTTGAAGCGCCCAAGAATCATCTGCCACTCCGTAATCCCTATTGCTGTGGGATGGAAGTCAAGTTAGCATTGCAGTTGTGCCTGTGCGTGTTCATGCAGAGTGTCCAAAGATGCAAGGTGAATGGCTTGGTTTCAAGCTGTGTCCAATTCTCCGAAGAAATCTCACAACCTCCTACATAGGCATCATAAACCATACCATCCGCTACTTCGACCTAATCGTATTCCCCACACATCGTCAATCCGTTGGAAGACGGCTGAATCCTTCTATGGGCTTCACCTCCATCTTCTCACCTGTGACGCTACTCCCTCCTTTGATGCTCGAATTCTGTACTCGGATTCTTCTCCGGCCTGCTTCTCGGCCTCGGCCTTTGCTTCCACTGCGGCTTCATGCTTTGTCTCATAAATGCGCTATGCACCATCCATATTTTATTCAGGTTTTGCCATTGTGTTCAGCAGATTCATTCGTCTGCACTGTGCGTCAGGGGCTTGTCTGTCTGAGCTCCCTTTTTCGGTTTCATTCATTCTCGTCTCATTGCATCTACCACCGACAGTAATCCAGCTGCCTTCCTGGCCCGCTCCTCTTCACCTGCTTTGCTTCCGCGTCGTCTGCCTGCATCACAGAATCCTGAAATTTCTGAAGCAGACGCCTCCCTCCCTGGTCATTCAGCCAAGTATCAGAAACATCGACTGAAAGAGAGCCCAGTATCACTGTGGTAGGGTACTTCGTGACGCGGAACTGCAAGTACAGACGAGTGCTCTGGACGATGCAGACATGAAGCGGTATCTGTTGGTGGTCACCGCAGTGGTTCTGCTGGATGTCATCCTTGATGCCCAGCACGGACAAAAGACACCCAACAGCAGCACCCCTGCAAGTCTGCGGCACGACAGTTATCCTATCTCGGTAGGTGTTTGAATCTGTACTGATCCCTTCTGGCATTGCCTCTGACTCTGTCGCGATCACGTCAGACAATCTAGACTTGCATGTCGCAGGCTTATGTCGCAATCCAGAAACGAACGTCCAAGATTCAAGTTGGTGCCAATGCACATGTTTTTCACCACGCTTGTATATCCCTGCACCAAGTCGGACGCCAAGAACAGTTCCGAGTCTTGGCCCCAAGTTCGAACGAGGGAGTATCTGAGGCATCAGCCCCGTCTGGCTGAAGGAGAAGTTTTGAGGTGGCGGAGGATGATACTGCGAGGCAGTTGTGAGGAATAAAGGAACGTGTATTGAATAGAAGTAAGTGGTGCATACTAATTATCGCAATTAAATATACCTCTATTCAACAAAAAGAATACCACCCTGCAAGCATCTAAGCCCACTCGCAAACACCAAGCAGGCAACCTCAAGCCCCGCTGCTCCTCAGAACAGCGCCAGCCACAGGTCCAGGATAGATACTCCCCACAATCTCCTTAAACGCCATGTCATCCTCATACCTCTCCCTTGTCTGAGTAACAATGACCTGCAAGACAGGTATCTCCCTTCTGTTCATAGGCATAGAATCATCCACGTCGCTATTAAAAGCCGAAGATGTGCTGAAGCAATTGAGAGCTTGAAGCACCGGGCTTGTGGGTCTCGAAGGGGGGGTGGGACGGGATAATAAAGCAGAAGATGAGTGATATGGAGAAGGAGCTGGAGAGTGGGTGGTGGTTGGAGACGGCGGCAAGCACGAGGACATCCATGCAAGCACCATCCGCATGCGAGATGGCGTACGAGTAGGATCGCGATGAGGGCGAATGACGGTGCGTGTGACTACGACGTCATCACGGTCGTATACATCGAATTGTTGAGTGTGTGATGGAAGGACATCGACAAGCGTAGGCGAAGATGTGCGCGTATCCGTAGTAGAAGTGGAAGTGGAACCAGGTATGGATGAGCATGACGCCTCGGGGTCATGACCTCCCTCCTCAAGAGGAGCAGCCGTAACCTCACGGTCCAACCATGCACCCGCTCGAATAGGTAAACACACACACGTGTGTGTCCTGACGTCAAGGTCCTGCCCTATCGTCAGTTTGGAAGCACCGTTTTTGAGAAGTGAGACAAGTCTCTAAAGAATGAAACAGAAGTGAGTGATAATAAGAAGACATAGGGAAATGAGATAAAGAAAAAGACTGACCGTGCTAGTGCGCCGTAGCGGGTCGAAACGCTGTGCGACCATGGAGTCGTAACGTGTCAGAGCCATGTCCATGTCCATTTCCATGATCATATGTTTGCAGCGAAAAAAGTACGGAAGCAAGTTAGAATTTTGGAATGACAGTGAAGGGAGGGAACGATGACCTCTTCATCATTGTGAACAAGGGATTTAAGCCAAACGCCTAGTGTACAAGCAACTGTGGACGATAAAGCGTGAAATCAAAGCGCGCGCCACTCACTGTGCCACCGACGCTTTTCGTTTGCTTGGACAGTTGCCCGCCTGCGTGCGGTGGAGTTCACCCACAGCTCTGAGAGTATTTAACACAAGGCTTGGAAGTGTGATTCGCAACATAATACGTCGTCCAACCGAGAGGAAGAGCCGCTACGCATTGCAAGAATTCAAAGATGACTCAACAGGTCTGTGAGCGCGTTCTTCATCGTGCAGTCGTCGCGCTGACATGTGTTGGACAGCTATCCCATGCACAATCCATGTACGACCTTCGAAATGGCCCTAGGCCGTCGTACGCGCAGCTCGATGGGACAGAAACTGAGTTCGAGATACGAAGAGCCAGGAGGGTGGTTGTTCCGAGGGAGCAGGCACGGTTGATTATGGTGAGTTTTACATAGAGAGATTGAGGATTATGCGGCTTACCGTGAGTGTGAATGCGATGTAGGTGCCGCCTAGGCAGCCAGATAATTGCAATCATGTACCTGCGTGTCTGGATGAAGGTGGAATGAAGAGATGACTCGGCTACCTAAGGCAACGTGGTTGCCGAGCATCAATATTCAATAGCCAAAGAGTTCGGTGAAGATGATGCTCGTTCTTGTCTATTGGCGTTTTGTACCGACTATTGTGAGGAGTATATGTCATGACCCAATGTACATATTATAATTTATGACTTACAATTACACTCTCATCCGTCGAAGCATTCCTACCCAGCCCACAAGTCCGAGTCCGTCAGTTTGCCTAGAAAACCCATTTGTGCAGTGGTTGGAAATCATTGATCATCTCCAACACTTCGCATCCCTATTGAATCGATATGTCTTTGTCGTAGCCTCGGGTTCCGCTGACGTAGTATAATTGACCAGTTCAAGTTGATATATCTTGTGTTCTGCTCTCAAATTAGTGTTCGGGTGGTCCAAGCGTATGATGCTATGAATAAATCGCAAGTCAATTTGATATAAAGTCAGAGACCCGTTAACGTTACGAGTTAAAGTGGACCCCAAGCGGACCCCATTGGAAACACCGTGCGAGCTAAAGGCCATTAATGAACGGTTTAGGGCCGGAGCACATTGTCCACCCAAAAATTCGGTGAGGACGACGAGTCATGCATTCATGACACAACACATATGCATCTGCCGTAGCGGGAATCTGTCTCTGGGGTGTATTCATCCATGTCGCAGGTGTATTAAACACCTATGGCATGTACGAATAGTACCCCGGATTTGACGCTGCCTCTAGCCCCTTCCTGATCGTCAAGGACACCATAAGCCTGCATTAAGATCAACTTCTATGCGCGCATGAAACCTTCAAGATCTACCTGTGCGTCCGATACGTTTTCCAATGAAGGCTTTCTTGACGATCTAAATTCTCCTCAATTAGCGCTGAGTCAATAGACATCAGAGTCTGCATTGACACCACGCATCATTGATTGTGACCGACGACATCCACATCCGTACTGCGCCTTAGTGTTACGATGACTCTTCGGAATCACGACATTTGTATGTTCATCCGTCCATTATAACTATCCTTACCATGCAGATCTTATTCAGAACGCAGATATTCATGTCACCCTCGACCTGGACGCAGATGAGCGTGGAGCATGTCGAGGCGCAGGCAAGTACCACAGATTTCAGCTATAGTATTTTGTCACACACTCACTCACCTCCGCCCAGATTGAAGACTTGACCCTGGACGAGCAGCAGATCAACGTTCGCGCATGCATAGTCGAAGTGTGCTGTCGGGCGTCCACACGACTGAATTGTTGGTTGCTCGGCTGAACAGTGGCTGGGTGACCCTTGAACTTTGCGACGCACTCACTTCCTCGTGCCTGGTGTATAGATTACTGTGTTGTCATGGCGAATACCGAATGCAGTTGACCTCATTGCGATACTCAAATGGATTTCCTTGCATCTGCCATGTCGTCATCCACCACAACGTTGTCATTTTGTCTCTTGAACCAGTGGCCAGCACAATTCCATCGGGAGAAAAGTCCATCGTGTTGATCCCAGCAGAGTGGGCCTAGATGGCTTGGGTAAGAGATTCTCCAGTTTCTCCGTGCACGCTAAATCATACATTTTATGATGATGAAGGCCAAATGCAAACCTCGTTGATCTATGTTGTTATAAACTACAAACTGTAAGATATGATGACAGTATTGCGAGAACGAACCAGTTGCTGTAGGCAGCAGACGACTCAGAGGGGTCCGAATGCTAACAGCTCCAACATAAATGTCTGACCATGTTCCAGAGCCGATTAGGGAACGGGCGCTAGATGACATATGCAACGCAACTAACTGGAATACTAGCCCATCTTCCCATGGAACAGCAGCAGACATCGAGGATGCACGAGAACCTTGCTTCGCAGCGAACAGCCCGGGTCTTATCTAGTTGTCGAGAGCTAGTGAATCATGGACCGAGACTTCGTGGGATATAACCCGGTGACAAATGAACTCAACTTTGACTTGACCAAAACGCCCATTGTCCCCTACTATCCGCCCGTCGCTGCTGTCCTCGGTAAGTGATGGATTTTGAATTTGATGGGTGAAAGCTGAGATGGCGCTTCACTTGGCAGTTGAAAGTCTGGAATGTCTTCGCCTACCACTAAAAAGAAAGACATATCAGCAATAACGCCTCGCCAGAAATTTGAAGGACACACCCATTGGGTGTGGGGCGTCATACACCTGCTTGACGGACAGCGGATCATTACTTGTTCAGATGATGGCTCGCTGCGGGTATGGAACTTGGAGAGCGGGAAACAGATAGGAGAAGACTGGCGGGACGGAGACAGTAGAATGGGGAGTATAGCGTTGTCTCCGGATGGGAAGAAAATGGTTAGTGGGTGTGACGACGGTGGAGTGAGGTTGTGGAGCATCGAGACAGGCAATGTCATCGCGAAATGGACGGGGCACACAGCGGCTGTGTTGTCTGTCCGTTGGAGTCGAGATGGTCAGCGAGTAGTGAGCGGATGTGATGATGGGACAGTAAGGCAGTGGGATGTGGAGAGCGGAGAGACAATCCTGGAACCCGGACCAATCAACACAGGGCATCTACATGTATACATAGTCGTCTATTCGCCAGACACAACCATGATTGCAACTGGTGGAATGGATGACTCCTGGACTGAAGATGATGACAAGTGCTCAATTCAAATCTGGGATGCGAAGACAGGCGAGCTTGTCGCAACTCTCAAAGGACACACAAATTCAGTGTCGTGCCTGGCTTGGACCGTGGATGGAAAAACGCTCATCTCCGGGTCATTCGATACATCGATTCGGACATGGAACACAAAAACATGGACGCAGATCGCAGTTCTTGATGTGCACACTTGGCCTGTCTATGGCATTGCAATATCTCTGAATAGCCGCATCCTTGCAAGCGCATCGGGCGACCAGACAGCGCGATTGTGGAACCTCGACAATGGCCAGCCCATCAGTTCTCCACTCCAGCATGAACGTGAAGTTGGCTGCGTATCGTTGTCCGCGGATGGAAAACTACTAACAACTGGCTCCTGGGACAAGAACGCGTACTCATGGGATGTTGCTACGATTCTTAGAGAAGCTGGCCTCGACGAACTTCTGTTGGATTCAAAGGTGAGTCGACAGGCATTTATTACATTCTCATCACTGAACGCACTCTGCCAGGCCAACAAGTTGGCACTCCCTGTACGTAATACCGTCGTAAAAGGTCATTGCGTTCAAACATATACACTCTAGGAAAATGTTACACGACATCCGACCCAACAACGTCAACCTGCCCATCGGGTACCCCAAGGTTTTTTCGATGACCCACGAGAACGTTCCCATGTATGTCTTACTATCACTTCGAGTTTTATCCTGACCTCTATCAAACCTCTGTGGTCTCAGTTATTTGCACGAAGCCACCCCAGTCTATAATGTCATAATGATACATCAAATAGATGACAACTGTCATAAAATAGTGATACATAAATGTGAAGAACTGTCAGTACAGATCCTCCCAGCAGATACTAGCACTGGCTGATACATCAGTGTGAATCCTCATTTTGTGCCCTAGCACAGCCATTGACAGGGTCACATGTTTGCATATAGCGTGGGAACTTCTCCGCAACACCCAAAACATAGCCCAATTTGGGTATCTCCACAATATGAACCCTTCCCACACCCTCCCCAATCCATCCCTGGCTCACCATCACACTACAATTAGATACAGCTTGTAGTTAAGTAGTAGTATAGGTTATATACATATAATCAAACATAATAGACCGCTTTTTCTGTCTATTTTTGTACCAATGCCTGCTACAGGGCCTTTGCAAGTGATATATAATAAAAAACATATCAAAACCAATTTCGCAATTTTGACCCTTTGGTACTAGATTATTCTAGAGTATTTAGAATATGATTACAAACATATATGAACCCATCCCTGCCCTTATTTGACCTCCTAGAGCACCCTATATCAATTACTGTACTATACTAACATAAAACATAAAATAGGTTCGCTTTTTTTGACCTTTGGGTATATAGACTTGAAAACATGATCCCCAGCATCCCTTCAATAGTATACACAACGTATCAGAAGCCTGTGTTAAGAGGATCAGTCCCTGTGATGCTATGTGCTTACCCTCTCCTGGTGGTTCATACCCTGGGAATTTTTTTTCTGTAGCTCCGGCCCTCTAGGATGGTGGGGTACCTGTTCCTATGGATATTTAGAGTATTCTAGTTATATAGCTGCATTATAATAGCATCAGGATCCCATTCTACAATGAAATATCTCCATCTACCTTTGCTACTGCATATTTTCGCATATTTGAGGTTTTTCACTATATTTCTTTTGCATAGACTGTACAAACTGCTCATATTTACCTTCTAGTACATATATTGAGTCTTTTCATGGTAAGGATCACACAGAAATATATCAGAGTATTGATACCAGGGGTATGTTAGTCTGACTTAGTCATTTGTACTGATAAGTAGTTTATGTTTTCATGAGGATACATATGTGTAATCAGACACTTGCTGAATGTTGGGCCTATACCCAGAATACCAGATCTGAATTTGTAGAAAGATCAATTCACAACTCAGTGAGTGATGAGAAAAGTAAATTTGTGGTTATGGTCCCACTATGTGTTTAATAAGAGATTTATGTGAATATCTTTATATCTAACTAGCATCTAGGTCGAAGATTTTGTCAAAAATGAGCTAAATAGAATGTAGACTACCAAAATATCCTATACTGCACTACACTCTAAGAGTTAAAGTGATGTGGAAGTGTTGTGGTGTCAAAGTTGACAGAATTACAGTCCTGCCACCAACTTGAATGTAGTATAGAGAAGTACTCCGATGTTTTGACTTTTGACTTTCCCACGCACTTTTTCTTATCTACTGGGTTCCTCTGCTCTCAGGTCTTAATGGATCCTTCCAGTAATCAGGGGCTGTGTTCCCTAGTATATATAGTATACACTGTGATAGTCTGATCATGATATATCATCTTATACATGTTTGAAATTCCTAATCAGTGAAAGTAGGAGATATCAATACTCTGATATATTTCTGTGTGATCCTTACCATGAAAAGACTCAATATATGTACTAGAAGGTAAATATGAGCAGTTTGTACAGTCTATGCAAAAGAAATATAGTGAAAAACCTCAAATATGCGAAAATATGCAGTAGCAAAGGTAGATGGAGATATTTCATTGTAGAATGGGATCCTGATGCTATTATAATGCAGCTATATAACTAGAATACTCTAAATATCCATAGGAACAGGTACCCCACCATCCTAGAGGGCCGGAGCTACAGAAAAAAAATTCCCAGGGTATGAACCACCAGGAGAGGGTAAGCACATAGCATCACAGGGACTGATCCTCTTAACACAGGCTTCTGATACGTTGTGTATACTATTGAAGGGATGCTGGGGATCATGTTTTCAAGTCTATATACCCAAAGGTCAAAAAAAGCGAACCTATTTTCTATTTTATGCTAGTACAGCACAGTACATGATGTAGGACGCTCTAGGGGGTAAGGTGAGGGCTGGGATAAGTACATATATATTTATAAACATATTATAAACACTCTAGAGTATCCCAGTACCAGAGGGGCAAAAATGCGAAACAGTTTTTGATATGTTTTCTATTAGGTCACACTCACAGAGGCTCTGTAGCAGGTATAGGTACAGAAATAAAGAGAAAAAGCGGTTTATTATGTTCTATGGTATGTTTATAACCTATACTACTACTTAACTAGAAGCTATATCTAATTGTGGTGTGGTGGGGAGCCAGGGATTGATGGGGAGAGTGTGGGAAGGGTTCATATTGTGGAGATACCCAAATTGGGCTATGTTTTGGGTGTTGCGGAGAAGTTCCCACGCCATATGGCTGAAAATGCGAATATGGTATGTGGATCCTGTGTAATGTATGGATCCTGTGTAATGTATCACCATAGGGACTGATGTAGGGCCAGGTGAAATTGATGCGGTCCTGCCGCGGTCGTGACGCGCCTGTGACGCGGCATATGTGACGCGGCACGCTCATGTTCAAACAACATCTTATGTCGCTCGAACTGAATTCCAACAAGTTCCAAGCACTTTGAATATCCTCTTTAATGATCAGCATGTGAGTGTCCGTCTGCGTACAGGCCCTAGACTGTGTTATTCACTTCTCACCATATTTACAGCGCTTCTCTACTAGTGTCACACAGTGCCATCTTAGTACCATAATTCGTCTTGTATCGTCTCTAATTCATTGACCTAATGTTGGTTTACATCAGACACAGTGAGATCAAGTGTTGTCTCGCTAAGTGTCAAGCCTCAACCTCACATTGTCAAGTCTCGCTACTAGTAAGTGTCAAGCCTCGACCTCACCTTGTCAAGTCTAATACAGTCTCTATACTCACGTACTACCATGTTAAGCCCCGACCATGTCATCTCAAGCCTCGTTCAGGCTGGGTCAAGCACTGCTCATACAACGACAGGTTTTCCCAATCATCTTCACTCATGTCAACCTTCACTCTTACCTGTGCCGCGTCAACGCCCATTTCATGCCGCGTCAACCATAGCAGTGCCGCGTCAATGCCTCGTCAACACTCATCCATGCCGCGTCACATCCGCGTCACGCCGCGTCGAAACTCATACATGCCGCGTCACACCTATCATGCCGCGTCAACACCTGTCATGCCGCGTCAACCCTTCACCATATATCTATCTTAGGTAAATTCATCAATGTATCATACTAATATATTTTCTAACAACGCCTCCTTCCGTGCTTACAGATTTAGATCTCCTATATTGTACTCGTTTCAAGGCAATAATATATATTTACCAAGCCATTTTGAGTGTTACGGTGGCCGAGCGGCACTGATTAGATATTCAGCTCCTTTATCTTTTCTCAATTACTATGCCTTTTGTGAGTGCTTCAAGATACAGAATATTCACTCGCATTTAACCACACACAGGACTTAATCAAACATATATTCAAGTTTTTCTATCCCCCGGGCATAGGCAATCAAGACTATTCTGCGCCGGGCATTGGGAACCTCATTCCCTGCTATGACCGCACAGGTGCGCTGTTCAACTAACGCTCTATGAAATCCTGAAGTTGATAAGTATAGTAGGTAATCTAATAGCCTTTCTTCCAGCCTCTCCACCAACAGGTCCCATCACACATAGAACTGGTGCTGCTGCACTCTCCGCCTCGAATGCTTCATCCCTCCCTCGACCCATGAGACACCATTCACAGGAGCTATTCGATCTTCCCCAAGGCTCAAAATCTAACCCACGCCGACCTGCGCGAAGTCCTAGTCCTCGAGCAATTCAACGTCGTGGTCCAGATCGTCCATCCAACTCTCAACGTCCCAAATCTGGCCCAGGTGACCAGACACTGGCAGATGATTTGTGGGATCCATGGCCAGACGGAGACTTCGAACGGTTGTTCACATGGGTAGAGGTCACAAGAACTGCCAATCTCAGTGAACATTGGGCCTGCCAGCCAGGAGGAGGAGACAAGAGGGGATCAGAGTCAGCATTGACGTGGCCACAAGGTAAAAAGACGAGACGTGTTTGCTTGGGGGTCATTACCTGCGACGAACCGACGTGCGAGGTTGTCACGCGTCCACGTATACGCCGAGCTGGCATTATGGCGCAGCTGAGTGTACCCTGCCTTTGTGGTGGGCAGCTTACACACAACGACTGTGGTGTCACGTCGGTGCTGCATTCATTCAAAGAAGGTGTCTACTACATCCACAAGGGTGTTCATAACCACCCAAAGCAAACTCACGTCTTGCATCTGACCTGTGACGAGCGGACGAGATTTGAACAGATTGTCTTCGAAAATCCTACTACTGGCCCAGCAGCATTGGTTGCTGGTCGTCATAGTCTTTCTGGTACCCGCGAATCAGTCGCTACGATCTCTACAGTGCTTCTCAACCAGGACCGTGTCAAGGCTGAGCTTCAAGCACTCCAGGGCAAGTCCACTCGAAACTTTGTCGACGACTTTGCAGAATTCCAAAGAAATCATCCAGGCTACGTGTTGTATTCTCAATTCGAAGTCGTTACTGTTGTCGTCGTTCAAACTCAATTCATGGTGTCGCAACTAGTAACCGACTTCATCGAGGCCGAGGCCGTCAATGGCATTGTTTCAGATGCAGCGCATGGATTTTGGCACTCGCCGAAAGATCTTCTCATAATCAGTTCAACATATTCACCTTTGCTCGCATGCTGGGTACCTGGACTCATGACCTATGCCAATGGAGGTTCAGCCGAACACTATCGATTACATTTTCTCATCCTTTTCAACTCCATGGCAGACGAATGCGAGAAGTATGGCCACAAAGTCAATGATGAATTATTTGGAAATGTAAGTCGAGTTTTTGGTACATAGCATATATTCTAACATTCATTGTCTTTAATCCAGGTTGTCGACTTCAGCGAGGCTGAGCGAGTCGGCTTTACTCAAGCATTCATTACGTTCTGGACCAATCGCGAGGATTCATGCTCTCTGGCCGAACTTGAAGATGCAGCAGGTGCACTCCTCAAAGGCTGTCAGCAGCATTACCGTTCTCAGGTCACGCGCATCAAAAAAATCAGCGGAGTCATTGACCCCAGCAAGGCAGATAATTTTCAGAGTCGTGCCCTTGCCCTGTTGTCAGTCTCCGATATGGACACTTTCAAGCAAAAGGTCACTTCCCTTTTACGAGACTATCCCAAGTTAAAGCCATGGCTTGAGTGGTGGCTCCGTGATAGCCATGCTCAGATGCTATTTCCGCCGTTTCAGAAGATGAAGACCGGTCTATTCCAGGCGATGCCAAACTCCACTAATGCGGAAGAGGCAATGCACGCCAAGCTATATGCGACAGTTGGTAAACGCTACCACTTGATGGAGGGGCTGCTCTGCCTCCAAGTTTTCATGGAAAGCTTCCAGCTACGTGCAGCTGGCCGAAGTGGTATGTTCACCTGTATCACCAGTGTCAATTTGATATCAACCACTCCTTTTTTGACCAGTGGGCGCTCCGATTCGCTATGGAACAGCCAAGACCTGGCAAAATAACCTGCAAATACATGGTCGCACGCATCCAGAAAGAGCACCACTATCTCAGCGGTCAAAGTCCAGAAAAAATGATGGCCGACCTCCGGATACCTCACGCCAGCTCCTGCGAACCCGGTCAAAGTCTCGTGGCAAGCAGCAAGTCTGGAAGGAAAACTTGGACTCATGCTCCGACAGTTCGCTCGACTCCAACATCTCGAACCATCCATTGAGCTCACGGCCCAGTTATGCTTGGTCTAAAAACTCGTGCTGGCTCGATACCTGCCTTGAGCTCATGTTCATTACCATACAGCCTGACTTTTATACTGTCTTTCAGCCACGCTTCCTTGGAATCCGCGAGGCACATCCCTTATGGGCTCTGAATCAGGTTATGAAAGTTCATATGAGTATTGACCAGCCATCCAATGCATCTCGTATTTTGACGACTCAACGTGATGGGTTCCGAAAGAATCTCAAGGCCACGCACATCGTCAAGGACACGTCAGGTCCAGACGGAGTATTTGTAAGTATGCTGTTCAATTTGTTAACTTGGAGTTTTCCTCACATTTTCGATATAAAGGGCTGGCTAGGAAGGGTATTCAAACTTCTCCTGCACGACATGCCACCAGAAGAGACATATCTTGCTCGCACTTTCTTCGAGGCACAGACCATAGACCTGCAATTTTGCTCGGGTCCTTCAGGTGGACCGACACACTGGCAAATACCACGTCGACCCCATCCAAAGTGTCATTTTCAGCTTAACATCGAACTCTCCGTACAATACAAGGGCGACCTAGCTGCTTGGTTCCGTCACCTGGTTCGTGTGAACAAGGAGCCCACTTCGAAGACTTATTGCTGGCGAACTTTGGATGCGGAAGTTTTATGTCATGGCTCCCCGAACTTCCTCACTCTGTATCTTGGGATTCCTGTGATGCTCATAGTTGAGTTCGGTGATGTCCTCCATCATGGCAACAAATGGAACATTCCCAAGCACATAAGACCACTCACAAAAGAAGCTGAAGAAAAGCATTTGCTCGTTTACGATGTCGTTGGTCTTGCCTTTTGCGATCGCACCTCAAACCTCGCACACTTTGTTGCTCGCTACTCACCTGACGGCAAGAGGGTCTATCATTATGATGACCTTTCGCATGGTGGATTTGCACAACTGATGAAGAATGCAACTCTCAAAAGCCATCTTGTGGGCAATTTGCACGACATCCCTGCACCGGCAGGCTTCAATGTTCATGGTGTTGTGTATAGGTTACGTGGGGGCTCCACCGCACAGGATTTCTTCGCCGAGTATCAAATAGCGGCTGCAGAACGTTTGCACCACGTTCACATCGAACGCGACATGCAGTCATCAAAATCAATTCCTACCATTTCATTTTCTTGGCCTGGAGTATCTGCCGTTGATCCAGACAATCTTATTTGGCTCAAAAACCCGGCAACTACACAGAATGTAGAATACGAGGAGGTGGTAAGCACAGGCAGTAATTCCAAGAACACACATTCTGGCCGAAAACAACTTCGGATCTTGTTACCAGCAACGGAAATTGAAGATCAGCCATCTGGGAGCAAGGAGCAAATTCAATCGAAGAGTTTACCCGATCCATTAGAAAATTCATTGGACCTTCAGGCATCCGGTGACGAGGAGGCTGCTGTACCCAAGATAGAAAAATCATTGGACCTGGATGACGGCGAGAGTGAAGCATCCGACTATACATTTCATTGCAGGTGTGGAGCTCAAGGCAATGGTCACGATGTTGCAGGTGGCCAGAAGACAATTCGATGCGATCTGTGTGAAAATTGGTCACACATTGCTTGTCAGAGAGGTGGTCGAGCGAGCAATCTCCATCCGAAAGCAAAATTCCATTGTGATGGATGCTCGACACAGCAGTCAAAAGAGGTGCCGCCAACTCGCAAGTAAGTTTTTACAGCTGCACCACGTACATCAATTGATTTTCTTTGCTCAGGAGCAGCAGAAAAGCCACGAGCAAGAAGAAAACGGCTCTGCTTCCTACACGTCTAATGTTTGTCTTCTGACTTGCAAGGCCTGAATGAGATATAGCTGACGACTAACTTGTAGCGCCGGCAAAGGAGCTCTTGCTCGTCTTGGGAAGTACTGGTATCCTGTGCGGCTGATTCAGTCCTATGTTGCTGCCAATCTCCACGGAACTGCACATAACCGAGTACACTGGCGAGTCGTTTGGTGGCGCGGTTGCAAATTTCCATCAAGTCTCGGATCACCTCCTGGTGATGTTGAGCAAGGAGATCTCGTGGACGAACTGTGGCAGGACCATGCTAAGAGGCGTGAGATCCGTGTAAGTGAGATTTGCTGGTTGATATGCTCACGGTCTGCTCAACATGAACTATTACATAGCTCGGAGAATGGGTTCACTCTTGGGATACCCCTCGCGAAGAAGACTTGATTCAAAACTTTATGTCAGCACCAGCATCAAAAGAATTGGACAACATTCTACGACCTCATATAGCTTCGCTTCAGAAGCTCCTTGACAGTCCTGACTTGAACGAGCGTGGCGCAGAGGCATATCCTGTGATAGACTACATCATGCATTCGAAGAAGAACCTACTAGACGGTGTAGGTGCATACAGCATCCCATATTGTGGCGACATCTCATCTCACGAGTATGCGAAAATCGCACGTTGGTTCTCTGAGAACATTCCCGGTGCTTCGAGTCAAGTCGAAAAATGGCTCGGCGGCATGCCTTTAGTGCACGCCTTCACTCTTGTTGTTGCTCACCGAAAGGCTGGTGATTTCAAAAAATGTCTGGAAGCTCAGAACGAGCAATGGAATGAAAGAGCACTGTTGAAGATGGCATGGGCTGACCTACTGATCAGTTATCCTGCTGACAGCTTTGTCGCAGACGTAGACCTCGAGTGCTTAACTGCACTAGAAGCAAGGATGTTCGAGGATTCTGAAGAAGCAGGGCCTGCAGGCAACCAGCAGTGGGGTTTGGATGCTGGTCAACATCATAGGCGGTGGAACGTGTATCTGAATGTGCCTAGTGAATGGGTTAGCGGACGAGAATACAGTGAGAGTGAATTAGAGGTGAGGAAACTTGAACACTACCTGCTTTTTCTTACTCGCGCAATCAATAGCATGGCCGCTTGTTCAGCGATAATTCCGACGCCACGTCAGAAGCTGAAGTTGCAGCTCCTTCGCTGCTGGCTGAAGAAGAACTTGTTGCCGTGAAACGTCGCAAGGGCCCACAGAGAGTCCAGAGAGGGAGTAAAAGAAAATAGTTCTTGTTTGATTAGTAGCTCTATGCATGGCCTGAGTCAGTCAATGAATAAATAGCGAATGTTCAAAACCAACTTCACTCGGCCGCGTCAAGGTTCGTTCGTCATTTGTTGCATTAGTGCCGCGTCAATGGTGCGTCAGGTCGCGTCAATTGCGCGTCACGCCGCGTCACAGCCGCGTCACGACCGCGGCAGGCGCGGCAGGACCGCGTCAAAATAGCCACGCCCACTGATGTATCATTGCAGTAGTGGCACCACTACAACACCACTATGACAGACTTTCACACTTATGTATCAGTATTTTTGTGACAGTGTCATGGTTGATACATCAGAATGACAGGATGTGGTGGCCACCCCCACTCCTTAGCACCGCAAGGGAACACATTTCTTGGCCGCTTATTCCACCGCAGCCCCTCCAATCCCCATGAAACATCACCGTCCTCTCCTCTCAATTGGGCTCAAAACCTTTTGAAACGGCGCGGACAGAGTGGTGCAGGCACAGAGTTGCACGGACGCAGCCCAGCAATTCTTGAGGTCCCGTATGCAAAGGGAAAACGTGTATGTTTTCTCTCCTTCCCAGATGTTCCACTTGACCTGACATTGCGCAGAGGAATGCTTCAGCGAGAGAGAAACGAAAAACGAACTCACGGCCTCTCAAGCCCAATGCCACGCAGCCATCCAACGATGTGACTCTGACACAGTCATCTTCGCAACCACAGCCAGCTGTCTCCGACTCGTCTACCACACATGCTGTCGGTGATACAGCCGCAGCTTCAACGTCAACAATCTCACGCCCTCATGCAACGATAAGGCACGCTGGACTCTGGACTCGCTTCTGGCTCTTCATTGGCTGTCTGTCTCCTGAATACACGAATGGTCACCATTAGTTTGTCATTCTCTCATACCTTACGAGTTGCATTCCTTTACACCTCTCGTTGACGTGCTCTATGTACCCGTGTTACTCACTCTGCTATATTTCGAACCATCTTGTTTTGATACCACATGCCTCATCATCTCTGTCTGCATCGCCGCACGTATATGTATATATGCAGATTTGAGCCAGTGGCCTCTGTCTTATCCTGACAGTCGAATACTCAACCTCTTGCAAGTTGTTGCCCCAGCAAAGTTCAAAACTCACCATCGCGACTCGCACGGTCCAGCTGTGTAACGTGTTGCTTCCTCCACTCACCACAAGGATATTTTCGAACACATTCGCTCCTCCATACGGCTGGCGGGTTGTCAGTAAGTATGAACAGTAATTCCCGTATATTCTGACAGCTTCTCCATCTCTTTTGACTGATAGGTGAGGACAGGTCCTGCAGAATACCGCGATCACAATGGTTTCACATGCACTCCTGCCGTGACTTTTCTTATTTGACGAACGATGCCGGTCAGCACCCCCAAAAATTCGGCAAGTAAATCATTACTTGAACGTGCGCGATCACTGCCATTATTCGACCTTTCCTTTCAGGTTGAATGTATAGCACATAGGTGGGTCTTACTTTGCTTCTCTTTCTTGTCGACACGAGGACTGTTGCTAACCATACATAATGCATGTGTTGCCAGTCATAACTTGTGCGTGAATCTAGCACCTCATCTATTTTGCCTGCATAGCTCAACGCCCATTCGTATTTCACTATCACTTCACATTGAGCACTTCTGCTCGCGCACATTCTGCGCCTTCTGTTCTTTTATTTTCTTCAACACTGGATTTTCCATTCAATTCCATCACACGTGAGTGTCTTTGCACTACCACGCGGCCTTGTACAGGCTTGCTTTTTCTAAAATTCCATATACTGCTCAAGCTATTGTCATGCTCTGATCAAAGGTGTTTTGGATGCCGCCGTTCGAAGGCATTCATCAATGGTGCGCACTTTTATTGTTTTTCTTTTCCATCAACTTGAATACTAACACTATCGTCACGCTCACACCAGATGCTAATCGAAGGCGTGGGCCTGAGGTCTCAATGCACAAGACCACCATCGGCTTCACTGACGTGTGCCGAAGACACTTTTTGTGGCAGTGACAGTGAGGGTGCGTCTGTCTTCCCTTTTCAAGTCGAGCTCGTCAAACACTCATAACTAGAGCTGCCCTACTCAGGCCGAGCCAGGCCAGGGTCATTCCATTTTGAGAGCCCAAGCCGGTCCTTAGGCTTACATGGACTACATACTCCCAGCAAAGAATTCTACGCTCGATTCCTGCTCAATGCGAAGGCGTTTCTGGAACATCCTGAAGCAGAAAAAAGCGACGCAGCAGTTATCACCCAGTCCTTTCATCTCTGTGTCATCTGGTGGACAACCCGAAAAGCATCTCAAAGACTCATTCTTGGCTGATATTGCATGGTGGATTAATCATCGTTCTCTTGGGGTATTAAGTACAATGTACTCAGGACTAATTGGGCTGCTCAAATTCAGCTGCGTGAACAACCCGTGATCGCTGACTGCCATGCATGCAAGACGCAAGTTGGAAGATAAGTAGGAGAATTTGGAAGTGAATTTTGTAAAAACCAAACGCGCTTCTCGCCGGTTGTTTACAATCACCCAATACAGTGCTGTGTGATCCTGATATTGGGTCGTTGCAGGAGGACGGAGAACTCTCTGATCATTTGGACAGGACAGAATCTGCTGGCGTGGATGTGGAGGTTGCATCATACGAGGAAGGTGGGTTGGAGACGTCGGCTGTACTGTCAAATGCTTTAAACTTCGTGGCCATTTTGGAGGAGAAAAAGGAGACCAAGGGAGTTTTAGAAATGAGGAGAAAATAAGGGCCTGTAATAAGAAATAAACAGAAAGTCATGGGACACTCTGAATTCGAAGGTCCGCCTTGGCCTTGGCTATCGGCGTCGATGTCGAGTCCTAGACCTCATCAACGTCATAGACCAACATTGTAGTTGAATTGTCATTTTTCTTAATTGATCACGAAACAACGCGTAAACAAGCAACAATAACGCGGTTGATGCATTTCGAGGCTAAGTTACATTCAACTTAAGCTGGGGACCAGCCCATCTATGAGGCAAGCCGTCGCATCTCCGCTATATCCTTGTGACAGCCTTCGCATCATCCTCTGCTGACGTGTAATTCATGCACGAACTTCTTCTTGATGCGTAGTGGGAAATGTTCACAACTGAGGGCAGAGAAGGGCAGTTTGGCTTGCAACAAAAAGAATTGCATTGAAGTCAAGGTGAGTCATAAGTTCATCGTTCGCATTCCTCCTTCTGATGTGGTATCTGGAATCGCTAGACTTTAGTCACTTTGCAGCGATCGTGCAGCAGCAAGCGGACTCGGAGATGTCCAATCTCTTGTCCAGATTTCACGGTCCAACATCTATCGCTTTGGTGACCCAAACGTCGTGGTGCCGGTCTTCCGCGATGTTGAATGGACTATCGGCGAGGGTGAAAACTGGGCTGTAATAGGGACAGGTTCGAAGCAGAAGACAGCCCTTTTGCAGGTGCGTCATGCTAGCTGTATTTCAAAGTCTCTGCATTGACAAATTTATGCTGCGCGTTAGACGCTCCTCGGTCTCCTACGTATAACTCCTCCTCTGCCATTACCTGGAGGCCTATTTCCTTTCCTTTCCGACCCTCCATGTGACCCACACACCTGCCCCTCTCTCGTATCATTCGCTCATCGATCTCGCGCAGCAGGTGGTGCCTTCTATTACTACACTTCTCCGTACGGCGCAGTTAGAGAAGAGGACCGTATCGCCCTTCGGGAAAGTATGTTCGGAGAGTACAACATTCAGCCAAAAGGCGGCAGGGTGAAAACTCCCGTTGAAATTGCACAGGACGAAGTCAAGAAAGGCATCTTTGAGGACCTAGCTTCTAAACTACATCTTTCCTCTCTGTTGGATTTGCCTTTGATCGCTTTATCAAACGGGCAGACGCGTCGAGCCCGCATTGTGAAGACTATTATGTCTGAACCAGAGCTCCTCGTACTCGACGAACCTTTGAGTGAGTGATTGAACTCATATTCGACCAGCGCGAAGCATAATTGATGTGCTTCATTCAGCTGGCCTCGACGTCAATAACCGCCCAACCTTGTTGAATGTTCTTCGTTCAGTTCATGAGTCTCGCAGTCCATGCATCATCATGGGCCTCAGGATGCAAGACCCCGTTCCTGACTGGATCTCACATGTCGCTTTAATGACGGGCGAAACTATCTTGACAGACACCAAAGATGAAATGCTGTCTAAGCACGCATACCACCACGCAAAAGAAGCTGAGAGAACGGCACGCACCACTCAGTCTTATCTGCAGCTTGGCCTTGATCATGGAAAGCCACTAGTGGACATGCAGAACGTGAACGTATCGCATGGCACACGCAAGGCAACTACGTCGTCCTTCATTATTTTGATGTCAATGACACTTTTTCGATCTAGGTGCTCAAAAATAGTGATCGGACGATCCACAAAAGCCAGTGTTGGCATCTTCAAGGTGCAAGTGGTATGTCAACCATACACGAAACTGAAGCTTTAGGATCCTGACCTTTCAACCAGGTTCTGGGAAAACTATCCTTCTTTCGCTTCTGACAGGCGACCAACCCCGGTCTTACATTTAGCGAGGTATTTCGAACCTCGAGTTGTTCTCCCGACCTCGGCAGCATATCCCTACTCCGCTCTTATGTTCTCTCATTGGTGTCGTTTCACCAGAACTTGCGAATGCATACCCAAGACGCGCCGGTGTCAGTGTATTCGACGTCATTGGCACAGGCTTTGACGGCAGTTTCGTCCCTGTGGAACGGACAGTGTAGAGAGCGCACTCAGCAATGAAGTCAGACAGTGGAGAGTAAAACGCATACATGAGATCCTTAACGGCCTCGGTCCGACTTCCTACGAGTCAGACATCAATGGTTTTGCTGGTGGCGATGAGCCGTTGGCAGCGAACAAATGATTTTTGAAGCACGATTTTGTGGACCTCTCTGCAGGCGAACAGAGTGCGATCGTTCTGCTGACGCGGGCGCTTGTGAGGCGCCCCCAACTTGTTTTTCTGGACGAAGTTTGGAGTGGTATGGATGCAAATACGGTGCGAGCTGCGAGGCACTACCTTTGCGAGGGTGGTGCTTGGATCCGACCAAGCAATGGTGGTTATCAGCCACTGGGAGGAAGAGGTGCCATGCAGGGTACAAGATGGTTTGAGACAAGTAAATTAGATGATGGGGAAGGACAGGAGTTGTAGAACACGCATGGCTAGAAATGACAACGAAGATCCTGGTGGCTACAAATACTGTATCAGGTCGTAAGGGCATTATTGCCCTCTTTTATTTAAAACAAGACTGGCGTTGATGTCGACGTGTGTGGTCATCATTGCATCAACCTTATTTCTCATACAAATACCATACAGGACCATATTAAACCATGCTTGAGCTTGAGGGACGAGACCAGTCTCAATGCTTTTCGACGGACACCGCCGCGAGTCAACCACCAGTTTTGTTAGGGACGCCGTCAATATGTATGCCGCAGTGTCGTCAGAGAATACACAACAACTCGAGCGAGAGATTGAAAATTCCAGAAGTTGGCTAAATGAGACAAAAAACACACTACGAGCGAGCTAACGAATGCTACAACCGCGAGCTATCGTCGTGGCGTAAGGCAAGACGACTACACTGGAAAAGGAAGCCTAAGGCCACGACGGCTAAACCCGAAACCTTGCATCCCTCATCCTCATGCTTCGGACTACAGGATGCTATCAAGTAAGTTCTACTCCGCTTGTACTCCGCTATATATATACTTCCAGTATATGCGTCATAATGAATAGTAATAAAGTGAGAAAGTCGCCCTATTGCATGATCATACAACCATTTGATACACTTCTACCCCCTTACTAAACCACCTCCGCATACATGCCATGCCAAGAAACCTTCATTTACTGATGCATACACCTCAGCAACTCCACAGATCAGCGACGCCGTGATGAATTGCCTAGAATTAAGGGATTCCTGAAGACAAATTTAAAGATATCAGTGGGACTGCTACAATTGTGATAGCTGAAACATACGCAGGGGATGTTGTAAAGTGACTTCAAGAATTGTGACAGTTAATGGCTTCTTCTGAGAGCTGTTGATGAATTTCGCTGCCCATCTATAGGAGTTCGTTTCATATGTCTGGACGGCAGAGCTCAAAGCTTCCCTGACAGCAGCTGCATTCAGAGATGCATTAGACTGCACGAGAGCGGAGTGAAAGGACTTCTGCTGCGCCTGAATATACCCTTGTTGGTCACAAAGATAGAAAGTGCGTTCTGAATAATGACAGCAGCCAACCGATGGATAATAAGTAGGCCCTCTCTTTTCAATGCCTCCTCGATGCAGAAGACTTACAGATCATCCAGGATCATTGACCCCGTGAGGTACGGCCCATCAACCCCATCGAGAGCAACAAAGTTCTCCGGAACGCAGCATTGGCACCAATTTAGATACCCATTTCACGCAACACACAAGTCAACCCAACCCCATTGCCCGAGCTCCATAGCTATCCAAGTCGCATGGACGTCTGGTATGATGAAATGGAAGACCTCTCATACGACGAACACGAACTCGAGGATGCGGTACGTATATATTTTATCTCATCTGTTGGGAGGTTAAGTACTATCATTACTCATACCCACTCCTCGATGCCCAAAACAGAACCTATCAATTCAGAATCGTAAGTTCCAGTGGCTCATCCAGGCAGCATCCGACGGAAATGGAAGGAAAGAACGAAGCACGTAGCAGGGAATGTGGCTTCGCCTTTTTCGTGGAGTGTTGCTGTTAGCAGAAGACGACTGAGAGGGGTCCAAATGCAATAGCTCCAACATAAATGTCTGACCAGGAAGCAAAAAAAAATGCAGTGAGCTATGGAGGAATGTTTCAAAGCCGATTAGATAACGGGCGCTAGCACATAGGCAACGCAACTTACTGGAATACTAGCCCATCTTCCCATGGAACAGCAGCAGATATCGAGGATGCACAAGAACGCATCGCAGCGAACAACCCGGTTCTTATCTCATTGTCGAGAGTGATGATAACTCGGTGGACACTGTCTCGGAAGTACTGACAAATGAGGCTTGGGCGCTTCAGCTGCACAGCCGATGCTGTATGTAAGCTGTGAACGCGAGGATAAAGCATGTAAAACGTACCAGGAAGTAGTGAACCTAACTCTGACTTGACCGAAAGGCCCATTTCCCCCTACTATCCGCCCGTCGCTGTTGTCCTCGGTAAGTAATGTAGTTGGAATTTGGTGGGTGAAAGCTGAGATGGCGCTGCACTTGGTAGTTGAAATTCTGGAATATGTCTTCACCCACAACTAAAAAGAAAGAGACATCAGCAATAACACCTCGCCAGAAATTTGAAGGACACACCAATTTGGTCCGCGGAGCCATACACCTACTTGACGGACAGCGGATGATTACTTGTTCACATGATGGCTCGCTGCGGGTATGGAACTTGGAGAGCGGGAAACAGATAGGAGAAGACTGGCGGGACGGAGACCATGGGGTGATCAGTATAGCGTTGTCTCCGGATGGGAAGAAAGTGGTTAGCAGGAGTGAGGACGGTGGAGTGAGGTTGTGGGACATCGAGACAGGCAAGGTCATCGCAAAATGGACGGGGCACACACAGCCAGTGTTGTCTGTCTGTTGGAGTCGAGATGGTCAGCGAGTAGTGAGTGGATCCCACGATGGGACAGCGAGGCAGTGGGATGTGGAGAGTGGAGAGGCAATCCTGGAACCCGGGCCAGTCAACACAGGGCATCGAGAAGTGTGCGCAGCCATCTATTCGCCAGACACGACCATGATTGCGACCGGTGGATTGGATAGGCGAGATAATTACGAGTCCTCAATTAAAATCTGGGATGCGAAGACAGGCGAGCTTGTCGCAAATCTCAAAGGACACACAAATTCAGTGTCATGCCTGGCTTGGACCATGGATGGAAAAACGCTCATCTCCGGGTCATTCGATACCTCGATTCGGACATGGAATACAAAAACATGGACACAGATCACAGTTCTGGATGCGCACACTTTCACTGTCAATAGCATTGCAATATCTCCAAATGGCCGCATCCTCGCAAGCCCATCGCGCAACAAGACAGCGCGATTGTGGGACCTCGACAACGGCCAGCCCATCAGTTCTCCACTCCGGCATGTAAATGAGGTTTTCTGCGTCTCCTTTTCCGCGGATGGAAAGCTACTAACAACTGGCTCCCGGGACATGAACGCGTACTCATGGGATGTTGCTACTATTATTAGTGAAGCTGGCCGCAACGAACTCCTGTTGGATCCAAAGGTGAGTCAACAGGCATTCATGACATCCTCATGACTGAACGCGCTCTGCCAGACCAAGAAGTTGGCACTCCCTGTATGTAACACCTTCGTAAACAGATTTCATTGCATTCAAACATATACACTCTAGGAAAATGCTACACAACATCCGACCAAACGAGGTCAATCTGCCCATCGGGTACCCCCGGGCTTTTTTGATGTCCCACCAGATCATTCTCATGTATGTTGTTAGCAGCACTTCCAGTTCATCAGGAAAACCCTCCTTTGCTAAATTTGCATAAATTTGCAGAATTCGCAAAATTCGCAAAATATCGCAACATTTCATTAATTCTATCTAATCGCTCGTGTTTAGAAACAAATTAGATTACAATGTTAATGTAGGATATGAATATTTGAAAAAATGAGACGAGCTTGAGCAAATTATCTAGAAATTGACGAATTGAAGCATTATTATAATAATGGAGTTTATGGTGGTTACTTGGAAGCAGAAGGTAAGTTCAAGTTTGGAGGCTTTTTGAGAGATGGGTTTGGAGATCGGAGGTGGTTCCTTGGAAGTAGAAGGTAAGTTTGGAGGCTTTTTGAGAGATGGGTTTGGAGATCGGGCTGAGAAAACGGGGAATGACTGGGGAAAGGAATTAGTGCTCATTAATGTTTAAAGTAAGGTCCGAGTGAGATTACCAGAAACCACAGGAAGTCGCGGAATGTGAGAACAAGGAACACTTTGTTGATATGATGACATGTATTTGGCCGCATGTCATGTGACTTTGTTGTTGAAGTCGGACAGACTCACAGAGCAACTTAATTTTAAACTTGTACCACCTTCTTGCCGTCTGAGAAGGAACACGAATCTTGCTGCAGCTGCCTGAAGAACTTGCCCATCCGTTGAGTTTTCTCATCCCGAGTTCGTGTTCGTGCTGATATCACTAACATGTTTAATTATTTTGTCAGTCAGTCAGTCATCAAAATTGCCGTGTTGAGTTGAGTTTGAATCGGTTTTACAGCTCAAGCACTGACTATTCTCCATTGGAGTCAACTATCAGATCACATTGGGCGGAAGCCTTTGATACTGACCGCTCTATTCATAATAGCGGTTTCGATGTTCTCGTTTGAACTGTCGAAAACTTTTTTTTGGTCTGGTGGCGAGGTTCGTAAATAGCCGTAACGACTGTCAGTCACTGATATCTTGACTAGCTGCGTCGTCTGCGGGGCATACACTTACAGTGACCAGCCCTATGTCCTACCAAGGTGAAAATCTCGTATTATTGATATCTAACCAGCTCTTTCATAGCCCGAAGGCCATCAGTGCGAAATTTGTGGGGTGCTTTGTTGAAATCACTCAGAACGAGGTGAGTCATCCTGAAATTCTTTGTTCTTCCTTTGACGCTAATGTGTACGCAGAGCTATGCACTGCGGCACAACAACATTTACGAGGCAGCAAAGTGAGTTTTCCCCCAGGGATGTTGCTTCAGTCCTCGATGCTCATTGCTGACTCATCTTGCAGGAAGTTCAGATGGAATGGTGTTGCCATAGACCACACCGAGCTGGACACATTTGAACTGCTTGATCTTGATCTCAATTAATGTTGCCATACAAGTCACGGTCTCCATGTTGTTATTAGCTGTGCTTGTACTCTATCATTTTCTAATCGAAGACTATTTTTTCGTGTATTGCTGTGTGATTGTGATCAGAAACTCCACTCGTAGACGGTCTAAAATTGAACGGATGGACTTCTAAATGCACAACAATGTTTTTGAATAACTACTTATTATGATTAATTCTGTCAAATTTTTTTGGGGTAACATAATCGAGCAAATCCTCCCGATCCTTCAAATCCTTCAAATCCATCACATTTCGAGATAATAGTCAAAAATCATTGATATTTTTTAAAATTTAGCAAACGAGGCTTTTCCTGATGTTTTATCCTGACTTGGCGGTCTCAGTTCTCTCCACAAAGCGCCCCCCACTCCACCTCAGCACCACAAGGAAGCACGTTTCTTGGCCGCTTATTCCACCGCAGCCCCTCCAATACACATGAAACATCACCGTCCTCTCCTCTCGATTGGGCTCAAAACCTTTTGAAACGGCGCGGACAGAGTTGTGAAGGCATAGAGTTGCACAGATGCAGCCCAGCAGTTGTTGAGGTTCCGTATGCACGGGGACAATGCGTAAGTTCTCTCTCCTTCCCAGATGTTCCATTCGACCTGACATTGTGCAGGGGAATGCTTCAGCGAGAGAGAAACGGAAAACGGGCTCACGGCCTCCCAAGCCCAATGCCACGCAGCAATCCAATGGTGCAACTCATACCCAGCCATCTTCGCAACCACAGGCACCTGTCTCCAATTCGCCTACCACACCTGCTGTCAGTGATGCCACCGCAGCTTCAACGTCAACAAACTTGCGCCCTCATGCAACGATAAGACACGCTGGACGCTGGACTCGCTTCCGGCTCTTCATTTGTTGTCTGTCTCCTGAATACATGGATGGCCGTCATTAAGCTATGATTTCCTCGTCCCCCACGATGATCTCTCGCGTGCTTCTACCAAATCATATGTCGTTCTGCTATGTTTAGAATTGTCCTTTTTCATGCCACACGCCTCCTCATCTCCGTCTGCGATTTATATGACACTGAAGCTATGTGTTTTGTATTTTCGGTCTCCTCGATTCGACTCACCCCATGTACCTACCAATATAACCACTCTGATAAAGACTTCGTGACGTATCTGCCATGCTGAAGGAGGGGGTTACAGCGGTATGGCCTTGAATAGTTACTACGTGCTTCTTCATGCGCCAAATCTTTATCTGCGCTACAATGGTGACCTCCCATCTTTTATATTTACTTCCCGCCAGACCCACAGCGTACAGTTTCACACTTGAAGCCGGTAATATGAATTGAATCTCTTTCGGCTTGAACGTATAGACCGCTAGTTAAATGAGATCGTTCCCGGATAACGTGATCTGCTCATGTGCGCTGGGGATGTATTCTAAGTATTCTAAGTTTAGGACACAGCTGGTCAAAAATAAGGGTTTGGCATTGCAGGAGGTTGAAAGGGGGTCACAACGGCCACCCGGATCGCATGGCCATAAAAATTGCTCAGTGAGTCCAAGTCAAAATCGATCTGATCAGTGCAGTGCTGCAGATTCGGTTCACATACCATTTTATACCCCCCAAAAGATATCTTCGCATCATGACACTCAACCTGGTCAAAAGAAGAACTAATCACGCGTCTCAGAGCTGGAGACGAAAAAGCACACAAAACCAACTCACTCCCCTACATCCAAAAACACTGTTTCATTTCTCATCCTACCCGAAGTGCAAGATCGCCATCAAGTTCTGTTATTCAGGTTGGAAGTATAATTGGCTGGCATATCAAAACGGTCCGACGCCTCTTCCAACGGTTGAAGATGTGTCGTTCAAAGTCTTTGTGAAGGTAAGGCTCGTCGATGAAACTGGCAGCCTGGATGGTTGTGGATGGGAGAATGTGGAATGACAGACCGAGGAAGCGATCACTGCTTGTCAAGTAGTTTCGTTATGGGTTCGAAGTGCTCTTCCTACCGAAACTCCTTCCTGTAGTCCATCATCTGAGGAGTACTCATCTATGGAGGACACTCCACAACACACCCCACTCCAGCCTTTCACCAAACTTGAGCTCCACTACGTATCCACCCTGAAACGCGTCCTCCCCCCAACAATTTTCGAGTGAGATCGTGAATTTTTTTGCTAATCGTGATCGTTGATGGTGGCGATGAGAGAGAGCGTCGATTAATGGAGATTGGACTCGTATTTGCTTTTGAGTTTTTGAGTTTGGGAAGATTGGGATGTTGATACGGTCATCAGTGAACTGGTGAACAGATGAGAAGGCTATTGGCTTAGTATTTGATATGGACACAGTACTAGTGAAGCTTTTGATGAGCATGTTTGTGAGTCGTCTTGACCTTTTCTTTCTTTTATCAGTCGTTCATTTTTGGATAGGATGTTGACTGCAGCGGCACGATCGGGTTAAACGAGGTACCATTTCCCTGCCTCATCTCCTTTTGAATAGGGTTACTTGAGGCCTCGTGTGAGAAATTAATGAGGCGCCAAAAATGAACTTCGCGAAGCCGAGTATGAAATTCCTTCGTCAGCCGCTGCGGTCCGTGGGCCAAAAGAGACTGAGAAGACGGAAGTGAAGCCCATAGAAGGATTCAGCCGTCTTCTAACGGGATCAAAGTAGAGGATGATTTACTATCATTCCTGGGAATCTGCAACTGGCATGTAATATGCAAAATGTTCAAAACACCTCAACACGCTGCTTGAATCACCTCGAAAAAATTCAGGCGCATGTAGGCTACTTAGAGATAATGTACTGTCCAAGTAGAATAAAAATTTCTCGAGTGTTGCAGCTGCGAGAGACGGAATAGTGGTGATTTGCAACCTTGTATAATCATAAATGATGCAGATCCCATAGATCCTAAAGAGATATTCAAAATATTACACTTGGAGTCTATCAAACACCTCATCAGGGTGTCAGCACACAATTTCGATAGAGGTCGTTCTCTTGTTTTAAGATGCTATAGACGAAGGATTGTTGACATGTATGAAAGCGTGACAACAGATAGGAGAGTTGTGTAAGAAATTCAATCTCCTCTACGGCAAAGTTGACGTGCCGCTGCTGTGCCCGACGTGTGACACGACGTGACCATATTTTGCAGAATACCAGTCAGACCCTGAATTTTCTCGGTCTTCATCTGACACTCCACCACAAAATCATTAAAATCAGAAAAAATCAGATTCATATAGAGCAGATACGAGTATATATTGGTGTAAATCTGTAGAAGACAATATGATGTGGTTGAGGAGTTACAAAAGATTTATTGAAAATGTTGCAGAACCTCAGGAGTGATAGTACGATGCCTAGGTAGGAGGTTACGAGATTTCGTGGGAGGAATTGGACACAGCTTGATGCCAAGCCATTCACCTTGCATCTTTGGACACTCTGCGTGAACACGCGCAGGCACAACTACAATGCTAACCTATCCTCCATCCAACAGCAATAGGGATTACGGAGTGGCAGATGCATTCTTGGGCGCTTCAACTGCACAGCCTATGCTGTATATAAGCTGTGAAGCGATCAACAAGATACAGCATGACAAACGTACCAGGAAGTAGTGAACTCGACTCTGACTTGGCCGAAAACCCATTATCCCCTACTATCCGCGCGTCGCTGTTGTGCTCGGTAAGTGAGGGATTTTGAATTTGATGGGTGAAAGCTGAGACGGCGCTGCACTCAGTAGTTGTAATATGTCTTCACTCGCCACTGAAGAGAAAGAGATATCAGCAATAACGCCTCGCCAGAAATTTGAAGGACACGCCAATTGGGTCTCGGGCGCCATACACCTACTTGACGGACGGGAGATCATTACTTGTTCATATGATGGCTCGTTGCGGGAATGGAACTTGGAGAGCGGGAAACAGATAGGGGAAGACTGGCGGGACGGAGACAGTCCAGTGTACAGTATATCGTTGTCTCCGGATGGGAAGAAAGTGGTTAGTGGGAGTAGTGACTGTGGAGTCAGGTTGTGGGACATCGAGACAGGCAAGTTCATCGCAAAATGGACGGGGCACGCACGGCCAGTGTTTTCTATCTGTTGGAGTCGAGATGGTCAGCGAGTAGTGAGCGGATCTTGGGATGGGACAGTGAGGCAGTGGGATGTGGAGAGCGGAGAGACAATCCTGGAACCCAGGCTAATCAAGACAGGGCATCTACATGTGAACGCAGCCATCTATTCGCCAGACACCACCATGATTGCAACTGGTGGGCGTGATAGGCGAGATGATGACGAGTGTTCAATTAAAATCTGGGATGCGAAAACAGGCGGGCTTGTCGCAACTCTCAAAGGACACACAAATTCGGTGTTGTGCCTGGCTTGGACCGCGGATGGAAAAACGCTCATCTCCGGGTCATACGATAACTCGATTCGGACATGGAATACAAAAATTTGGAAGCAGAAGATCGCAGTTCTGGATGCGCACACTTCCTATGTCTGGGGCATTGCAATATCTCCGAATAGCCGCATCCTCGCAAGCGCATCAGCTGACTCGACGGCGCAATTGTGGGACCTCGACAATGGCCAGCCCATCAGTTCTCCACTCCAGCATCTAGATGAAGTTAACTGCGTATCGTTTTCCGCGGATGGAAAACTACTAACAACTGGCTGCGATGACAAGAACGCATACACATGGGATGTTGCTGCCATCCTTAGAGAATCTGGCCTCGACGAGCTTCTGTTGGATCCAAAGGTGAGTCGACAGGCATTCATTACATTCTCATAACTGAACGTGCTCTGCCAGGCCAGCAAGTCAGCACTCCATGTACGTAATACCATCATCATAAACAGATTTCATTGAGTTCAAACCTGTACACTCTAGAAAAATGCTACACGACATCATGCCCAACGACGTCAACCTGCCCAGCGGGTACTCCCGGGCTTTTTTGATGTCACACCAGATCATTCTCGTGTACGTTGTTAGTATCACTTCGAGTTTTATCCTGACCTACTACGTGGTCTCAGTTCTCTCCACGAGGCCGTCTCCACTCCTCCT